TAATGTAGCTTCATTAACAAAAATCCAATCTATTAAGGAATTTTCCCTAACAAAAACCTCTTCTGCAAAAGCTTTATCTGATTTCCCCACTCTTAATAAAAATGGAGAATAATTTGTCAGTGACCTCTATATAACAATATGAACACTTTAAAAGTACTATTAAAGCATTTTTTGGACAGTTTGATTTTCAGTAAGGTGACATCAGAGGTTGTTTTTGGATCACTTGATAAACACCATAATAAGAATTTGTGCTTAAACTGCCTGTCTTCCTTAGCCCCATGCTACTTGGCATTTTAGTTTACCGAATATTAAAATAATGATATCTCGGTTAAACAATGCCTTCACCTGGACCAAACAAAATTCATTACAGTATAATTAGGCATATGTTCTGTTCTTTGTCTCTGGTTTCAACTTCGCTTAAAAATCCTCTGCTCGGCCGGGCGCGGTGGCTCAAGCCTGTAATCCCAGCACTTTGGGAGGCCGAGACGGGCGGATCACGAGGTCAGCAGATCGAGACCATCCTGGCTAACCCGGTGAAACCCCGTCTCTACTAAAAAAAATACAAAAACCTAGCCGGGCAAGGTGGCGGGCGCCTGTAGTCCCAGCTACTCGGGAGGCTGAGGCAGGAGAATGGCGTAAACCTGGGAGGCGGAGCTTGCAGTGAGCTGAGATCTGGCCACTGCACTCCAGCCTGGGCGACAGAGCGAGACTCCGTCTCAAAAAAAAAAAAAAAAAAATCCTCTGCTCCATGTAATTCTATGTCCATTTGAAAATAAAAAGACGTATTCAGAGAGACTTGTACTGGAGATGTATTCATTTGTGGCAACAAAATGAATTACAATTGGGACAGCAACACAGTGGCCAGAAATAAACTGTAAGCAGGTTCTGAGGTAAGGCATTTTTCACAATGGTCTAGATCAGGGGTATCCAATCTTTTGGCTTCTCTGGGCCACACTGGAAGAAGAAGAGTTGTTTTAGGCCACCCATAAAATACACTAACAGTAATGACAGCTGATGACCTTAAAAAATGGCAAAAAAAAAAATCTCATAATGTTATTTAAGAAAGTCTATGAATTTGTGTTGGGCCACATTCAAAAGCATCCTGGGCCACAGGTGGGCCGTGGGCCATGGGTTGGACAAGCTTGGCCTAGATAGAGGTGGGGAGGGTACAGATTTAGCTAGGACTCATTAAAGCATCAAGTTTCTTTGATTTTCATTGAAATTAAATCATTCAATATGGTGATAATGGTTACTTCATAATGATCAGAAGACCTGATTGGCTGTTCATCACATAATAGGAATTACTGGGATGCATTCCTTGTATACAGTCAGTTACATATGTCTTTGATAAATAATAATGTGGAAATATTAATGTTACTTAATAATGTGGTTTAGATTTGAAGATAATCTTGAGCTAGGAGTCTTCAGATAGGAGGTAGGGATAGAGGGAACACCAAAGGGGTTTCTTTCTTCTTGCCTGGAGACAAACAGAATCGCTCTGCTATTCATTCCAGCAATTTATAACAGTGTGCATAGAATTTAACTGTCATAGAGAAGTGTAAGTGGAAAATGGTACTCTAACTTACCAACAGTGTAGAAAACACCTCACCCTTCAGACATGTTAGTCCAATGACTAGTACTTAGAAGTAGAAAAACTTATGAACAACAGAACTTACATATAATCAAAATAGTTTTAAAATGTCAAGCTAACTAACATAAAAGATAACACCAATCAATTTTCAGAATCTCAGAATAGTTTTCACTGAGTGAGTTAGGACATTTGGTTTAGAATAGCATTTGCTTTAAGTATTATGTTTGGGTTGATATCTTAAACATGAATGAATGAATTTTGTCCCTGTCTTTATAAGAAAACCTCAAGTAACTATTAACAGCTATTTCTTAAACTATAGAAAGAAAAACAGAATCGGGGAGGTCTATCAAACCTGCTTTAAATCCTCTATTATGGGCCCAGTGAATATGAGGCACCCCCTGTTGAGTGACTGGGTAATAGCTTTTATTCTCTGTTCTGCTCAGAAGGCAGTTTATTTTGCACTAAGAAAAACTATTATAGGATTTTATCTGTGACGTTAGGTTAAACTAAAGCTACCAGATAGATTAATGTCAAACTAGATTGTATTTCAAAGTCAATAAGGAGGACAGACTCAGTCCTTCACTTCTTTTCTGTTTTACTTTTAGGAATTACAACTAGCTTTTCACTCAATACAAATCATTCCATTTAAAAAATTTTAAAAACTTTCTAAAAATTATGTTAAAACTAATGTTTAACAAAAGTCTAAGGCCCAACAGAAACTAAATTAAGTACTGAACTGTAAGCAAGTCAATTTACTACTTTAACCAAGAAAGAATCACTAAAACAATGAAATGTTTGGCTCCATCTCAGTAGCAGTAGTGGTGATCACTGGAACCACTACCATCAACATCATCATTATCATCATCACCCTTATCATACCACAGCACCTACATAACATCAGTTTCTAAGACTGTTTTACATGTTTATCTCACATTTCTCATAGCAGCTAGTTTTATAGAACATGTTCCTTAAGTGGGTGTTCTTGGTATTTTGGATTAAAATGAACAATGGCTGGCTATTCAGGCTGTCTAAATTAGGCTACAGCAAAGATGATAAGAAAATTCCCCAGAGAAAATACTAGATGTGAAACATGGGTGACAAATAAAGTTTACACAAAGCACTGCATCATTTTCATCAAAAGAATCAGGTTCTGACACCATCTGTGTGACCTTGGACAAGTCACTTAACCTCCTTGGGCCTAGGCTTCTTTATAATAAGATGGAGAATAGTAACAGCATCTACCTCTCATGACTGTTAACAGGATTAAAGACAAATTAAAGTAGGGCTTGACACATAGTAAGCCCATAATAAATTGATTTATTGATTATTATAATTGCTATTTTTAAAGAATACACACACACATACACAGATAAACAGAATTAGTGGTTGTGTGAGCTACCATAATCATATTCTTGTCCTTTTTAACCTATGGCACTGGAATATACTAAATGCAGAGTATTGGTCTACTTGAAAACTTTTTTTTTTAAGTCACTGGGTTTCAAGGTACTGAAAGTATGCCATGATGTTCTTTATTGCTGAATTTCAATAAAATCAATCAACTCTTTCCAAATAATCTGAAAGCAAACAAACACAGCATGCTACATGGTTTATTTTAGGAGAAATTATCACTCTATATTTCTTCACAATCAAATAAGACAATCACTGTAGCTATTAATGGTAATGTTTGGGGTTTTCAGTTTGCAAAACACTTTCAGTGCAATGGTGAGAAAGCTCCTCCTATCTCTTGCTTTTTCTTACTTTCAATTCTCCACATGAAGAGCCACAGTTTTCACTGTACTTGGGAAGACCAAAGGGGAGGCACCCACAAGTAGCAGCACCAGTACTATTACTTTTGTTCACTGTCTTACAAGTAGTTAGAAGCAGCAAAGAGAAATGAAGGTCTTTTTTTCCTAAACAAATGCACAGGAAACCGAATGAAATGTTTCACAATTTAACCACTTAATGTGGTTAAATTTCATTAGTATAAACACTGCTTGATTACCGTCATTTAATCTTTAAGGTGCTGACAGGGTTCTATAGAGAATTCCAAACTTACTGACAAAGGAAGAGTTGCTCCCAAGATCTCTCCCAGTCTTTGATGAAGCAATTGCCACAGAACTATGCTTTTCTAATAGAGGATTCTCTCATATGAAATCTTCATTTTGCAAATCAGAAATATAAAATTTTGACAGAGCAATGAAGGAGGTCAAGTCAACAATAAGAATGTTTCTTTCACCTTCAAGAATCAAGAACTAAATACAGAATCACAGATTTGTGAGCCCTGAAGGAACTGGGCTTCAAAGGCGTTTAATAAACTGCAAATAATCATAATAGTAACAACAATACAAAGAAAAAGAAGGTATTTTTCAAGACTCAGTCATCTAAATAATGTTATCGAAGACAAGCAAATGAAAGAGTATGTCAAATATAACTGCATAGAATTTGGAAGTCCATTTGATTCATACCCATTTCTCAAAGAAAATAATTTATGGTTTTATAAACTGTTATTTGGTCTTAGTTTATTCTTTATGCACTAATGGTGCAATATATCTTTGCCAGTAAAACACATCTCATAAATATAACAGGAGCTGTGAAACCTTAAAGGTTTATATCAGCCCCATATAGAAAATCGCTTGCTATTTAGGACCCTTTGTTTCCAGGGATGAACCTATCTTTGTCCCCTATACAGATGTGACTTCTGTTCTCACTATCATAAATAAGGCCAAATCCAATGTCATGGAAACTGGCCCCCCATTTTTATCAAATGTTTCATTCATTAAGTGTCACCGATCACTGTTGAGTGGCAGTTATTTCTTGGCACTGAGGAGCTTATATCATGCAATAAAAAAAAAAATTCACCTCTAATCCTCTGGGGCATGAGCCTAAGATCTTTGTGTAATGAAACAGATTACAACATGGAACTCCATATTGCCTTTAAAAATATGAGCTTTTAGAAGAAAAATGTCTGTGGAAGAAATTAAATTAAGAAGGATGAGAAGACAGTTATAAAAAGAAAGGGCAGAAAAGATGGTAATTTACCACTGAAGAAAATGCTGGGAGATAAACATCTGCAATAGAGTTCAAACCACAGCCCCAGTCACCACGGATGGCAATTGTGAATGACTTCAGAAATGGACCCTATGATGTCAGTTCCTGGCTTGCCTGGAACTTTGCCAAGCACCCTTTGATCTGATTTTATCCCAGGCCTATTCCACAAAGGCCCAAATCACCAGTAGCCTTGTAACTGCCCTACCTGTCTGGGTGTTACTTCCATATATGCTCATTCCGGCTCAAATATTGTATGACAATCATTATCAGAAGGTTCTACGAAATAGGCAATCTCCTTTCTATACAAATTAGAAACCTCATTGACAATAAAAACACTTCGTAAAAATGGACAGTTCCCTACCTTGAACACCTCAAGCTGCTGATTAATTGTCTCCGTTTCCATGCCAACAGGACCTTGTGACTCTTCATGTTCTTCGGCTTTCTGGAGCAGAGTAGAGAATTCTTTCAATTTGCTGTAAAATTCTTCAAGACGCTTAATTGTCCCTTCAACCTGCTCTTCTCTGGCTTGGGCTCGGTCCAGTAACTTGTTGCATTGTTTGCTTAAGGCCTCCAAGTCTCTTTTGATTCCAACAAGGTCAGGAGAGGTTTCTTCTGTGGCTAACATCATCTTGCAGGTTTTATTGGCATTGTCGTTGCTTGCTATGAGGGCTTCTAGTTTCTTTAGAAAGGCTTTTATAGTTTCCTTTTGCTTTTGCAATGTTTCTGCATCTCTCCCCACTGGAGCCATGCTATCCAGTTCATCATCAAACTCTGCAAACTGAGAAAACATTTCTCGAATGGTATTCTGGAAATGCCCAATGCCCTGAAGCTTGGTTTCTAAGAAAGAACACTTTTCATCAACCTGCTGACTTAGTGCACTATGCTCTTGAGCTATGGTTTCCGCTTGTAATAAAACATCAGAGGTTCCCTTTGAGTCTGAGGCCTCTACCACAAGGTCCTGTGCAAGTCTTTTAGCCAAATCTACCTGATGCTTCAAGGCCTGAAGTGATTTCTGCTGAGTCTGCAACATGGTCAGGTATTTGTTACTGTAAGCCTGGGGTCCCAGGGAATCATGGATATCTAGTTGCTCCTTTGCACAGTGAAGCTGCCTTTTAGATTCTTTAGAAACTTCTTGAAATTCTTTAAACTTCTGAGCCATGTTCTCTAGAGAGAATTTCTTATTGTGAAGTTGTTCAGTGACCATGTCCACCTTCTGGATCAGTGACTTATTCTCATCTGTAACAACTTCTTTATCTATCTCACAGACACTGAGCAAGCTATTGGCTGTGTTGTTCAGTAATTCTACCATACCAAAGTGTTGGTCCATTTCCTTCTGCAGAGACTTTAACTTGGCAATAGAATTCTCTCCTTCGGCAGGATCCAAGCAAAATTTTATTTCCTCCAGGTTGTTTTGGCATTTGTCTATCCATGGCCGGAGAGTCTCTACTTGCTCTTTATACTTAAGGGCTTTTTCCAATGAATCTTTTAACTTGTTTTCTCTTTCTTTCACCTGCTTATTAAATGTATCCCAACTGGTTTTAATTGTATTAAGCTGTAACTGTAAGGCTGCCTTCTCAGACCCTTGTGTTTTTAATAACAGATTTTCACCTTCTGCAATGGTTTTTTCATAAATATGAGACTGAGCAGTCAAAGTTTTACTAAAGTCTTTATGATCTTTAATTAACGACTCCAAGACATTGAGTTTGGCGGATATTGGATGAGACTTGTTTTGCTCTTCTTTCTTTGTATCTAGCCAAGCCTGAAAATCTCTAGACATTTGCTGAAATTGATGAGAGCTTGCACAGGCTGACTGAAGGTGCTGGACATGACTCTCTAGAAATAAAATTACAAGATATGTTTATTTTATATCAAAATGTTAATTTAATCTATGAAAAGCCAAAATAAAAATCTCTGAATATACAGAATTGTTGAAAAGCAAGGGCTTTTAGCATTGACTATAAGAACTACAAGTGAACTTAAGATATTGACAAAGGGGAAAAGAGGTAAGAGGTAAGAGGTAGGCAAAAGAAAATACACATCAAGAAAAGAGCAGGAGACAGATGAGAGGAAAACAAAGAATAGGAAATAAGTAAAAATGGTCAAAGGTGCAGGGTGGCCACGCCACACATATCTGCTGTGCCTGGTGTTCTCTCTATTCCTAGTATGAGGAAGTGATGACGGCCCAAGTTCTCAATTATGTGATAATATTATATCTATCTGTTATCAAATATGACTTTTCACATCTATGACTTTTTTTTTTTTTTTTTTTTGGAGGCAGAGTCTCACTCTGTCACCCAGGCTGTGTTAGTGGCCGATCTCGGCTCACTGCAAGTCCGCCTCCCGGGTTCACGCCATTCTCCTGCCTCAGCCTCCCCAGTAGCTGGACTACAGGCGCCTGCCACCACGCCTGGCTAACTTTTGTATTGTTAGTAGAGATGGGTTTTCACTGTGTTAGCCGGATGGCTCGATCTCCTGACCTTTGTGATCCACCCGCCTCGGCCTCCCAAAGTGCTGGGATTACAGCATGAGCCACTGCGCTGGCCATGTCTATGACTTTTACATATTATGGAGGCAACATAATGTAGCACATAAAACTATATGAGTTTGTATCTTGGTTTAACCTCTTCAGAGTTGGAAGAGCCCAGGCAAATGATTAAACCTCTAAGCCTAATTTCTACCACTGTGAATTGACAATATTAATGGTAGGTGCTGTATAGATTATAGTACATGTAAAGTTCTTAGTTTAATACCTATCACATAAAAGTGTTCATACCATTAAGAATAATAATGATAATAGCTGATATTTACTATTGTTAATATCATGTCAAACAAAGGAATAAGTCTGAAACAGTTGCTGTGATCAGTAAATCCAATCAATTAAAAAGCAAAACTTGAGTATTTACTAGGTGCAAAAAACTAGAAACTTTTCAAACAGAACAAACTTAACAACAAAATGTGCCTTTCTTCATCAGGACTTTCTGAATTCTGATAACTCACTGCTACCTCTGACAAATATCAACACATCTGCCACAGAATTATAGCCACAGTGAGAGAGGAAAATAGTGACAAATGCCTCTCTTTGACACATTTCTCTAGAAAAGTTTTCTATGACCGCATAGATAAAGTAACAGCAGATGAGAAGATGATGCCAAGCCTTTTACTAACTATTCATGTTTTTCTTCTGGCAAAATAAGACTGTCATACAGCAAAAAACATTTACATCTTTTAAAAACCAGTTTGGGGTACCTGAAATTTTAATAGGCCTTCAGGAAGTCAATTTTGCCAACAGATTATATGTGTAGAATGACCCTAACATTATATATGCCTAGGAATACAAAACTGCTCTCTGAGCTCCTATATTCATCCTCCTCTTCACTGATGTTAACAGTGGGGCAGAGTCTCTTTGGGGTCCTGGATTATTTGCAACATCTTGGAAATAAGCAATATATGACATCTATTTCTGACCAGGAAATACATGTATTAAAAGTAGACAAACCTGCTTTCTGTTCAATATCCTTAAATGATTTTAAGATGCCTTCTAGCTGCCTACTAAGTTCTGCTTTCAAGTACTCTTCTTTAACCAGTGCTGACAAATCCTCACAGAGTGCCTGGGCCACTTTTATCTGCTTCTTTTCCTGCTGTATTTCCTGCTTCATTTTTTGGGCTGTTTCCAACTGTTGGTTCATAGCGTCAGGGTGCGTGCTCACAGCCAGACTGCTGCTGAGTTTATTATCCAAGTCACTCAGTTTATCAGAAAGGCTTCTCAGCAGGCTTTGATACTGTGTACTTTTAACAATGGCTTGGTCAATCCAGTCACATCTGTCACTCAATTGCCCTGTTAGGCTATCCCATTTTTGGGTCACAGCTGCCAGTTGCTCTTTCACAATTCCACGTAAAGAAGGGTCTTCTCCAGGTCTGCTCAGAATGCCCTGACCAGCTGCTGTGAGCTGTTCATATTGAGGTTTCCGAGTGGCAAATTCTTGCAGCAGAATCTAAGGTAACAAGGGTAAATAAACACAAGTTATCATATAATTGATTGTAGAAAACACAGATTTGGTGTCCACACAGACAGAAATGGTAATTATTTCTCTAGTTTCTGTTTTTTAGTTATTACTTTCCTACTTTTTACTTAAAGGGCAGTACAATTATCTTCAATCCAAAAAACTATCGTGCTTCACGGAGATATCCTGTCTAGACTAATCCTATCCCCTTAAAGGAAAAACCTGGACAAAATGAACAAAAATTCATGTGTGAATTTTCATATGAAAAGAGAAACACTGCTGTTAGACAAGTTCACACTGCACTTACACCAAATTTGTTTTTACCCATTCATGTTTTTGTCTTTGTAGGATTTTTGGAATACCCTATGGAATTTTATATTAAAGAAAACACACAGTGATAAAGGTGTTAGAATATATTAACTCATGATGCACTGATTTACAAAGGTTTTTGTAACATAAAGTTTATTGATGTTTACAGTCTTCATTATAAAGGTTTTAGCCAACAAATCATGCTGCTCAGAATGTACAGACTCAACCTGACTCATAAAATGAATGATCCAAAAAATCTCATTCTTTTAGTATCATATTTTATCTATCTTTTATACTTTTATCTATATTTTATTTATCTGTCTATCTCTGGGAGACTACCAAGAGTAGAGGCAATTATTTCTCCCCAGATATTTACTTTTATCTTTTGTTTTTATTGTCTTTGGATTATGAACAGATATGAACTCAAACATCTGACTTTTACCAAAACTTATTTGAATTTTCAGCTTATAAAACAGCCTCCCTGCTCTAAAGCCAGTACTCACACATTAAAAAAACTAACTGAAACCACCACTGAGCTTCTGCTATTACACCTGACTATAAAAACATTAAACATTAAAAAATAAAACTCTTTTTTTGGATTTTTTTCCCTTGTGGATTTATCTGCTTTGTAACTAGACTCATCTAACTAAGACCCTGTGTTTCAGGGTTCCCTCTCTGCTTCCCTTATTCTTTGTCCTCTTCTTGTTCTCTCTGTCCCCCATCAGAACTCAACTGGATGAGTTTTACAAGTTTCATTATCTACTACCATAATCAAAATAAATAAAACCTCAAAGGAGTAATTTCTAAACAGTAAAAAGTATATACTAGCCTCTCATAAAGATATTACTTAATTGCATTAATACTTCAAAGAAGGCCCTTTTAACAGGATCCGTACCACCCACAATATGACTGAAATAATCAGGAAACTTGGCCCATTCATGGGCTTCAAGGAGGCCTCTAAGATGCCTCATAGCTTTAGTTCTCTGGGGGATTCCCACTAATATCAGGACAGTATCTTATGGGCATCTGAAACATTACACATATACTTCAAAGCAGTTAAATAAAACACCTACTGACCAAAGTTAATATATTTATAATGAAAACATTGGTCTCAGTAACTCAAATTGCTGTGCACGAGAGACAGGTTATTAGGTAATACTCACCTGCACCTGCTGCCTTTGCGTGTTTAGCATATTTGGGTCAATTGACAAGGGCCCAAGAACACTGACCATAAGTTCTTTTTCCACAAGCCACTGTTTCAACTGGGCCTCTACAGTCTGGAACTGGGTTAGATTATTGGAGGATTCTTCTAGTTTTTGTTGTCTATCAATTGTTAATTGATTGAGTTCTTGCCACTTAGAATCTAAAAGAAAAAAAATGAAACTGGTGTTTGATTTTTTTTTTTGCATTTAACATGACTATGTCTATGAGGACTGTATGATATGATTCAAAATGATATATAATGGCTATAATCCCATTTTTATGACTCTTGTTACATAGTTACTTAAAGGACTAACCTAAGATTTTATAGGTCTGATGGTTGTATGTTAACTGAAGTATAGGGAAAAAAATTGTGAATATGATTTTAGAAGATATTGTAGAATATGGAATATTCATTAAAGCAGACAGGATTCTAAGATCTCTTGTTCCTTCTATAAGTCCTATAGAGTGTGTTTATTAAACTATGACTTACTAAAACAATGAACAATAATCCTTTTAATATAAAATCTTCACTTATTCATTCTAGGCAAATTGCTCCCAAATTTGTATATCTATCCCATTATTCTTTCCCATTCAAATTACACACTAACAACCAGCTGCTGGAAAGTTCCAGTAGGAAGTCTCACCAATTAAACTCAACATTAAAAAATAAAACTCATTATATTCCTCTCAAAACTGGTGGACTTTTATGACTTTTAGATTTCTTTCAAAGGTTATCTCTTCTCCCATGTCATAAAGATGCAATAATTCAGAAAATGCTTTTATGAGCTTCCTAACTCTATCATATCCTTGATCATAAAACCTTAAAGCCCTCCTTTACATTCTCAATGCCATAACTCCATTTTGGCCTTCATCATATTTTTTTTTTAATTATTTGTATTTTTTAAATTGATATATAATAGAAATGTATTTTTAGAGTGCATGTGATAATTTAACACAATTCATCCAGGTGATGAGCTAACAGCATCATGTTTTCCTAGACCAGTAGTTCACACACTTGAGCTGCATTAAGAATCACCTGGAGGCATCTTTAACACAGATTTCCGGGCTCTGCCTTGAGTTTTTGATTCAGTAGGTCTGGAGTAGTATCTGAAATTCTGCATTTCTAAAAAATTCCCAGGTGATGCTGTTGCTGCTGATCCCAGGAGCACAATGGAGAACTAATGACCTAGTCTAGCAGTCTTCTAACTAGTATCCCTGCTATTAGTGTTTCTCAACTGCAAGCCACTTGTTTCTAATACAATTTCCCTAAAAAGTGTCACTTTTAAAACTGTCACTTCCCTGCTCAAACCCTTCAACAACTAACTCCTCGTTACCTAGACAATAAAATCTGAAGACCTTTGCCTGACATTTGAGGCCTCCCACAATCTCTGAAGGTTTGTACTCTGAGATGATCCTCTAATCTAGCCCTGATGATTTCACCCTTGTAATCCAAACAGGCTTCTGCTCACACAGGTCCTATGCCTGAGATTCTATACCTCCTCCCCATACATCCCAACCCTATCCTTCCTTTACATTCCATTGGATTTACCCTCTGCTAGGAAGCCTTTTCTGTTCTCTCCATCCTCAAGACAGTATGCTCCCTGTAGTCAGGGGTTACTAATCAGAGCACTTCTTCCAGCACTTCAACATAGTCACTCAATAAATATTCACTGATGGTGCGATCAGTTGATTTGAGAGAGTTTTCATTTAGCATAACACACTAAAGGAATGACTTTAATAGAACACAATCACTGAAACCTTATCTAATAACATCATTCCATATGACATTTTCTGGTCAAACACAATCTCACAACAAAATAATGCCATTAAAACAATAAATCAGGAAGGAAAAATATAAAAGCTCATCAAGAAGGTTTTCTGAACTACATATTCCTCATTCCCATTCCTATTCTAAAATAGTTTTTTTTACATGATATTACTTGGGTTTGCTAATACTCTCCCCAAGTAATTCTGAGATCCTAGAAGACAGCCACTGAATTAGGGGCAAATTAATTACAACTTGATAGGAATCTCTAAAGTTGGATTAAATATATCTCTGAACATGAAGATCCCTTAGGGTAACCTTTTTCAAACTAAAATATACTTAGAGATTTCTACATTTATCATAGCACACCTGATTCTAAAGGAAGAACAATATTTAGTAATGGAACAATTGAAAGTAAAATAATTATTATAATCATAGTATGTACTTACGTAGCACTTAATATGTGCCAGGTACTATTTGTTTAAGGCATATTCAACTTAACTTATTGGGTTCTCCAAATGAAACTACGAAGTGGCGAAAATTATTACCGTTCTCTTATACTCATTTTCTTTTTTTTCTACCCCCTTTACACTCATTTTCTACATTATTATAGTAATAAAAATTGGTAAGACAATAGGGCTTATAAAGAAAATTCTGTACCTCTGAGGAGCAGTGTATGCTCCTCTGTTTATACAAAGACAGAATGTGGGTAGGAGGATAATTTTAGATAAAAAATTGATTGGGGAAGAGCAGAAGAGCAAAAAGCACGGAGCAGGAGGGGTCCCAGAAGTAACTGCATGAAGGAGAAGGGAGCACACCTTTTCCAGATGAATGAAAGAAATATTTAAAATATAATACAGCTTGGAAATATATAAAGCATAATAAAGCACCAAAAGCTAGTAAAAAGTAAAGAAACATTAATGAAAACAGGTACTCAATGCACAGCACTTCATTAACTAGTATCTACATTCTTCATAAAAATAAATTTAATTACTGTGTTTACCATAAAACACATAAGATATGCCAATTTTCTGCACAATATAATTTGAAATGACACTTTATGCAAAAAATAGATTCTGAAACATTAAAGCAAATCCAAAAATAAGTGACTCTGTTGAATGTTTTCTGATAAAGATTATGATTAACATGAAAAATGATTGCACTTTTCTTCACAGGCGTTCATCTAAGTAATGCAACATACCTATTTCTGTCAACATCTGTTTCCATCTGGGGGCCTCAGGAGTATCTGGGTTCTCCTCCAACAGCTCTGTCAACTTGTCTTTCAACTCCTGTACTTTGTTTACATTCTGCTTCAGTTCTGCCTCAAATGACTAACAAAGGAAAAATAATAATAAACTATGCGAACAGCAAAAGACAAAAATACAATAATGATAGAGGATTTTTTTTCTCTAGAATGACCAAAAGAGGAAGAAATCTACTGTTAAATGCTGTGGTGGGTGAGGGCCTGGATTTTGCAATTAATTATTTTCCTTTCCTCTTCTTAGCTCGTGTTCAACTGTGTGATAAAGGAATCCCCACAGAGGAACACTAGGACTATGGAGATAATGACTCTTGTCCCCATTAGTGAGAAAGAATTTCATATTTTCAAACAAGCCACTCTGGAATAAAGAAAGATGACATCAGTAAATTTTAATAAGTAAGAAAATCAGTCTTAATAAAGGCTGCCAGAAGTGGAGAATCTACACGTGAATAAGCACTTTTTTTGGGCAACACATTATAGAATTCAAATATAGGTTGTTAATTTGTAGAAATTTTGCCATCATTGCCACCATTATATAAAGCCATTTTCCCAACCTTGGCAGCTGTAGAAAGAAATACTATCTATTAAATAAAAGGAAGGCATTAGCACCCTATTTTTATACGACAGAGAATAGATCTCTCATACATTTAGCCCTTAAATAAATCTTTTCTAATAGCTGACTGGTTAACATCCCAGGCTTACACTGATTTAAAGGTGGCAAAGTGGCTTACACCAAACAGTTTGCTAATCTATAACGTGGCTGTGCCCAAAATTTTTTAAAAAGTAACTATTATTATCAATCTCTACAGAAAGGCACATTAAACAAAACTGTCAAATTATGTGCTAAAGTTTATAGAGCTAGAAAACAGAACAGAGCTTCTGACTACCAGAGCTCCGTTCCAACTGCTAATCCATTCTCTTTCATGTCTTCCATAGGTGCACCCACAGAATATACCTTATTCTGCTCAACTTGAGTCTTCACAGCTTCAGTATCTGTAGGTGCAGGTGTCTGATGCCATTTCGTTGCAGTTTTGTTCATTTTCTGTAACCACTGCATCATTGCACTTGATTCTTCCTGAGCCTTTTGCAATTTGGAGAGTTTAGTGTTCAGTTCTGCTATTTTGTCCTTGAGTAAGAGGCCAAGATCTTCATAATCATGACTTATGTCAGTCATGTCCTTTTTAATGGATGTTAAACCTAGGAGTAAGAAAAACAACTATATTGACATATTTTCAGGACATTCGGAGCAGAGGTCTAGAAATAAAAGGTTTTTTTACATGATATTTTATAACGTCTAGTTTGTCACTATTAAGCCTAGTATGATAAAGTCATAAATGTTTTAGAAATAAAAGGTTGGATCATCTTATAATGCTATTTGATCACAAATAATTCAAGAAAATTGCATAATATAAGTAAAATAAAAAAGATATTTTAAATGTAATAAAAAACACAAACCACAAAATGTTACTTAGCAATATCTCAAACACCAAACTCAATAAATCAAGTCAAATAATGTTATCCCAAGTGACAAAATATCTCAAATTAACCAAAAAGCAAGCAACAAAACCAAGAGTCAAATTGAACAACTTGATTTTATTCATTTCAGATACACAAAACTGCATAAAATGTTATATAAATAGAGTATCTATGGAGATTGTGACTATTAGATCAAATACCATTGTAATTCAGGCTTGAAATTTCAATATAACTACTGTTTGCCTCTAAGATTTTCTCTCATTAAAAAAACACCAAATTACATTAATCAATAACAAATTAAAATTAATATTCACCTTTATTTGCCCAAAATTCCTCAGTATTTGTGGCTGTTCCTTCACCATTTAATATTGCTCCACCTGCAAAAATATTAACACTAAAATAATCACAGAGTTTCATAGCATTTCTATACATTAACAGTATATGGCATTAAATCAAACCCCATCAACAGTAATCACTATAAAATGTTACTGCTATTTGAAAACATAAAATACTGACTCAACTTCAAAATCAAATGAATGTCTAAAATTTAAATATCAAACAATATCCTCTCTTCTATGTAAAATTTATTCTTAAAGTATTGTCTTAAACACTACCATTTCAGTATGTTTATATTATATAAATTAATCATTAAATATTAATTCAACAAAATTTTTGTGATGAAATCGCTTTATCATAATAAATTCCTCTATTCTAGGAAGAGTCATATTTATTAAATTGCATTTTAGATCAATAAGTGGAAGCTTATTTTTTTTTAAATTTGTATTTATTTTTATTTATTTTATTATATTTTAAGTTCTGGGATACATGTGCAGAATGTGCAGGTTTGTTACATAAGTATACACATGCCATGGAGGTTTGCTGCATCCATCAACCCATTATCTACATTATTTCTCCTAATGCTATCCCCCACTAGCCTGCCCACCCTCCAACAGGCCCTGGTGTGTGATGTTCCCATCCCTGTGTCCATGTGTTCTCATTGTTCAACTCCCACCTATGAGTGAGAACATGCGGTGTTTGGTTTTGTGTTCCTCTGTTAGTTTGCTGAGAATGATGGTTTCCAGCTTCATCCATATCCTGGGAAAGGACATGAACTATCATTTTTTTATGGCTGCATAGTATTCCATAATGTATATGTGCCACATTTTCTTTATCCAGTCTATCATTGATGGGCTTTGGGGTGGGTTCCAAGTCTTTGCTATTGTGAATAGTGCTGCAATAAACATAGGTGTGCATGTGTCTTTATAGCAGCATGATTTATAATCCTTTGTGTATATACCCAGTAATGGGATTGGTGGGCCAAATGGTGTTTCTGGTTCTAGATCCTTGAGGAACCGTCACATTGTCTTCCATAATGACTGAATTAATTTACACTCCCACCAACAGTGTAAAAGTGTTTCTATTTCTCCACATCCTCTCCAGCACCTGTTGTTTCCTTTTTAATGATTGCCATTCTAACTAGTGTGAGATGGTACCTCATTGTGGTTTTAATTTGCATTTCTCTAATGACCAGTGATGATGAGCTTTTTTTCACGTTTGTTGACCACATAAATGTCTTCTTTTGACAAGTGTCTCTTCATATCCTTTGCCCACTTTTTGATGGTGTTGTTTTTTTCTTGTAAATTTGTTTAAGTTCCTTGTAGATTCTGGATATTAGCCCTTTGTCAAGTGGATAGGTTGCAAAATTTTTCTCCCATTCTGTTGGTTGCCTGTTCACTCTGATGATAGTTTCTTTTGCTGTGCAGAAGCTCTTTAGTTTAATTAGATCACATTTGTCAATTTTGGCTTTTGTTGCCATTGCTTTTGGTGTTTTAGTTATGAAGTCTTTGCCCATGCCTATGTCCGGAATGGTATTGCCTAGGTTTTCTTCTAGGATTTTTATGGTTTTAAGTCTTATGTTTAAGTCTTTAATCCATCTTGAGTTAGTTTTTTATAAGGTGTAAGGAAGGGGTCCAGTTTCAGTTTTCTGCATATGGCTACCCAGTTTTTCTAACACCACTTATTAAATAGGGAATCCTTCCCCTACTGCGTTTGTCAGGTTTGTCAAAGACAAGATGGTTGTGGATGTCTGGTGTTATTTCTGAGGCCTCTGTTCTGTTCCATTGGTCTAAATGTCTATTTTGGTACCAGTACCATGCTGTTTTGGTTACTGTAGCCTTGTAGTATAGTTTGAAGTCAAGTAGCGTGACACCTCCAGTTTTGTTATTTTTGCTTAGGATTGTCTTGGCTATACGGGCTCTTTTTTGGTACCATATGAAAGTTAAAGTTGTTTTTTCTAATTCTGTGAAGAAAGTCACCGGTAGCTTGATGGGGATAGCATTTAATCTATAAATTACTTTGGGCAGTATAATTATTTTCACGATATTGATTCTTCCTACCCATGAGCATAGAATATTTCTCCATTTGTTTGTGTCCTCTCTTATTTCTTTGAGCAGTGGTTTGTAGTTCTCCTTAAAGAGGTCCTTCACATCCCTTGTAAGTTGGATTCCTAGGTATTTTATTCTCTTTGTAGCAATTGTGAATGGGAGCTCACTCATGATTTGGCTGTTTGTCTATTATTGGTGTATAGGAATGCTTGCGATTTTTGCACATTGATTTTGTATCCTGAGACTTTGCTGAAGTTACTTATCAGCTTAAGGAGATTTTGGGCTGAGACGATGGGGTTTTCTAAATATATAATCATGTCATCTGCAAACAGAGACAATTTAACTTCCTCTCTTTCTATCTGAATACCCTTTATTACTTTCTCTTGCCTGATTGCCCTGGTCAGAACTTCCAATACTATGCTGAATAGGAGTGGTGAGAGAGGGTATCCTTGTCTTGTGCCGGTTTTCAAAGGGAATGTTTCCAGCTTTTGCCCATTCAGTATGATATTGGTTGTGAGTTTGTCACAAATAGCTCTCATTGTTTTGAGATACTTTCCATCAATACCTAGTTTATTGAGAGTTTTTAGCATGAAGGGGTGTTGAATTTTATCGAAGGTTTTTTCTGCATCTATTGAGATAATCGTGGTTTTTGTCATTTTATTGTGGAGGATAAGCTTTTTGATGTGCTGCTGGATTCGGTTTGCCAGTGTTTTATTGAAGATTTTCGCATTGATGTTCATCAGGGATCTTGGTCTGAAATTTTCTGTTTTTGTTGTGTCTCTGCCAGGTTTTAGTATCAGAATGATGCTGGTCTCATAAAATGAGTTAGGGAGGAGTCCCTCTTTTTTTTTTTTTTTTTTTTTTTTTTTTGTGACGGAGTCTTGCTGTGTCACCCAGGCTGGAGTGCAGTGGCGCGATCTCGGCTAACTGCAAGCTTCGCCTCCTGGGTTCCTGCCATTCTCCCACATCAGCCACCCAAGTAGCTGGTACTACAGGCACCCGCCACCTAGTCCAACTAATTTTTGTATTTTTAGTAAAGACGGGGTTTCACCATGTTAACCAGGATGGTCTTGATCTCCTGACCTCATGATCCAACCACCTCGCCTCCCAAAGTGCCAGGATTACAGGCGTGAACCACCGCACCCAGCTAAGAGTTCCTCTTTTTCTATTGTTTGGAATAGTTTCAGAAGGAATGTTACTAGCTACTCTTTGTACCTCTGGTGGAATTCATCTATGAATCTGTCTGGTCCTGGGCTTTTTTTGGTTGGTAGGCTATTAATTACTACCTCAGTTTCAGAACTTATTGGTGTATTCAGGCATCTTCCAGATGTCAGCCGGAGCTCTCCTGTATGAGGTGTCTGTCGACCCCTGCTGGGAGGTGTCTCCCACTCAAGAGGCACGGGGTCAGGGACCCACTTGAGGCGGCAGTCTGTTCCTTAGCAGAGCTGGAGCGCTGTGCTGGGAGATCCACTGCTCTCTTCAGAGCCATCAGGCAGGGACGTTTAAGTCTGCTGAAGCTGCGCCCCTTCCCCCAGGTGCTCTGTCCCAGGGAGATGGGGGTTTTATCTGTAAGTCCCTGACTGGGGCTGCTGCCTTTTTTTCAGAGATGCATCGCCCAGAGAGGAGGAATCTAGAGAGGCAGTCTGGCTACAGCGGCTTTATTGAGCTGTGGTGGGCTCTGCACAGTTCGAACCTCCCTGGCAGTTTGTTTACACTGGGAGGGGAAAACCACCTACTCAAGTCTCAGTAATGGTGGACGCCCCTCCTCTCACCAAGCTCAAGCCCTCCAGGTTGACTTCAGACGGCTGTGCTGGCAGCGAGAATTTCAAGCCAGTGGATCATAGTTTGCTGAGCTCCGTGGGGGTGGGACCTGCTGAGCTAGACCACTTGGCTCCCTGGCTTCAGCCCCCTTTCCAAGGGAGTGAATGATTCTGTCTTGCTGGTATTCCAGGCGTTACTGCAGTATGGAAAAAAAAACTCCTGCAGCTAGTTCAGTGTCTGCTCAAACGGCCACCCAGTTTTGTGCTTGAAACCCAGGGCCCTGGTGGTGTAGGCACCCAAGGGAATCTCCTGGTCTGTGAGTTGAGAAGACCGTAGGAAAAGTGTAGTATCTGGGTCAGAATGCACCATTCCTCAAGGCACAGTCCCTTACAGCTTCCCTTGGCTAGGGGAAGGAGTTTCCCACCCCCTTGCGCTTCCCAGGTGAGGCAATGCCCCACCCTGCTTCTGCTCACCCTCTGTGGGCTGCACCCACTGTCTAACCAGCCCCAGTGAGATGAGCCGAGTACCTCAGTTGCTCAACCACCTTCTGCATTGATTTCGCTGGGAGCTGCAGACTGGAGCTGTTCCTATTCAGCCATCTTGCCAGTCACTTCTCACTTTATTGTTAAAATTATCTTAATGATAAAGGTCCTGAAGCTCAGAAGGTAGGTACTCAGTATATAAGTGTGTTGAACAATGCATATGTGACTGACAAAAGAGTATCTGCCTTACTTAAGGACTGAAAATTGTCTGGTGCAGTTAACACAGTGCTATTATGGGCTTAATGCAGGCAGAATAATTTTTTTAAATACATAAGAAGTTGAAAGTAAAAAAGAAAATAAACAAATCGATTATTAAACCCATATTACGTCAACACGAAGAGAGAGCATGGTGGTTAGGAGTACCTAGGTCTTGCTGTATAACTTACCTGATTTTAAACTCCAGCCTCATTAATTACTAGCCAGGTGACTGGACAAACAAATCAGCCAAACTGATGGGAATAATAATACCTAACTGTGGGAACCAAACACCAACGTGGGAACCAAAGATCCATTGCTTAGCAAGTAGAAACTAGTCAGTAAGTAGCAAACTAATAGTTCACTTTTATTACATAACAATCTAGCACTGGTACTTTTTCATAATCAGAATATTAAAATATCAGACTTTCTCATACTAGTATCTATTGGCTACGTATCCAAAACACAAAGACATTTCTCAGATCAACCACATAATAACAAGTCTAAACAGAAACATTAAAACATCTGAATCTTAACTTTGTCCCTTAAAAAAAAATTTAACATGATGGGATTTCAGATGGAAGTAAAAATATCCTGTAGATGCTCAGTACTAATTCCTACCATGCTTGGTAGTTACCAAGAGTCAAAAAAAAAAAAAAAAATCCCAAAACAACAGCAACAACAACAAAAAAAAACCACTTCATATTTATGGCAAATATAAAGGGGACATGAAGAGCTAAAATAAATAAAGCACAATAGAATTCCTCCTCTAAAAAAAAAAAAAAAAAACTTGACATTTCAGGAAATCTGATTAGAAGAAAAAGGAGAAATCATCACACCATTATAATATGGGTAGTCCCTGAAATAGGATTAATAGAGTGGAATAAATGGTAGGCTGAGAAGGGCCCAGCTGGAACATCAGTATCACAATAGGGACAGCTGGGGGGCTGGTCAGACTAGATACCCCACAGAGGATACTCAGAACTCTCAGAAGAAAGATATCAGAGCTGCCTTCTGCCAATTATTTTTTTAAAAAAACTTGTTACTGTATGTTTCAAACTAAAAACTATAACCATAACTTGCTTAAATTAATTTTAGAATCAATATTTACACATGACTCTCCCATTTTATTGAGAAAAGTGGCTTAACCATGAGTTAGATTGTGACACAAATATGCTGGCTCACATACTGCATAATTGTTTACTTTGGGAATGATGTACAGAATGAAATACACAGGAATAAAATAAGAGAGTGTCCACTGTATAGAAAAGGGCCAATTTCCTTCCCTCACTTCTTTCCCAGCTGCCCAGACTCATTTCTTTATCAAATATTACAATTAAATATTTTAAATAGAATTTCAATATATCCATCTAATTAAGGTAAAAAGCAAACAAATTTGAATATGATCTGTTCCCTTCCCCAATATAACATTCCTTATTCTTACATATTAATTTAGCTACATTTTAAATACAGTCTAATAAAATAAAACATAAGAAGGATTTGAAATTTGATTAGTACAGATACATTCCCAACACAGTGTGCTTATAGATGCCATGTTTCTTGCCACTTTCACTTTGTATTTCTGAGGTTATTTTATGCATTAATTTAAAAATAACATACACAAAATTGACATGAGTAAACTCAATGCTTACAGTTTTTGCCATAAATGTAAATAAAACTCATACCTGATTTAACTGCTGCTATTGCCTTTGCAGGGGTGGTCACAGCACTTATTAAGTTACATAGTGAGATCCCACTGTTGTTTACTTTCTGAATCTCTGGTGTTTTTAAACTCCACTTTTCTTGTAATTTCTTGAGATATAAAAACACATTATTTTTCCATCTTAATATTTTCAAAGTTGCACATTATAATTCAATTTCTTAAACATATCTCAAAGTAGTAATAATTGTAGACCCTGATTTGTGAGGGAGTCAATGAAAGAAAAAGGCACTTATTTGTTCCCACAGCCCAGGTGACTGTTAACTCAGTTAACGGTGGGGTATGTATGGCCCATTCTGCCTTCAAAGGTTTCGTAAGTGGCAAGTAAAATCCTAGCCACAGTGGGAGTCAGGCTATTCTTGGCTGCTATGGGTTCCAAAATAACTGTCAACTGTAAGTCTGTAAAACTGTATTAGGTAACAGACCAGTTACAAGATAAAAGGTACTAGGAACAATAAAAATAAATAGGAATTCAGAATTTCATTTTACAGTGTATTTTAATCCTACAAATTTCAATAACTTTTAAAAACACACACACATCCACAAATTTGGAGTGGGGAAAAAAAAAAAAAGCCATACTGGTCACAGGTGTTATGCCTTGAGGCAGATGACAAAAGACTTGTGCACTATTTATGCAGGAGATTCAAATAACTTCTCTTTCCGAATACTCGTTATAGTGATATATACAAGCTAGAGTAAAATGCTAAGTGAAGAAGATGTTTTACTTAATATTATGAGAAATGGTATAAAAATTACTGAAACTAAGTAGAGATTTGGTAGGAAAGGAAACTTGATTACTAGAATAGTCAGCAACTCATTAATATATTTTTTAAAAAAGCAAATCAACGGAAAAGTTTATGTCCTTTTCCAAAAGAATTAGTTAAGCCCCACGCCATGATTTCCAAAGGTCAACAAAATATACAGTACATATATGAGGATCAAACTTAGATGATATTAGATCAAAGAAAACTACCATTAGTCTTTCAATCTTTCATTACTGGCACAAATGAAAATTTAGTATTAGATAACAATGATTCACCTTAGTATCTTCCAAAGATTTTCCTAAATCCTCTGCACCAAAAGAAGGCTGCACAATGGGAACTTTTTTTGTTGTTTCTTTTATCCATGACTTCAATGATTTAACAAGAACTTGGAAAGCATCCAACTGTTCTTGACAAGAAGTTACAGCTTCTTTTCTACATAACAAAAATCATACAAGAATTTAAGTCACAGAAAGAAGAATAAAATTATTATTCTCATGACACACTTAATGTTAAGAAACCATCTTCCATGTGTACTCTAACCCTTTGATACAGGAGGAAAGGTTTCATAGGTGACAGGTGAAATCAGCTAAATCAGTAGTCCCCAGCCTTTTAGGCACCAGGGACTGGTTTTGTGGAAGACAATTTTTTCCACAGACCAGCTAGAGAGGATGGTTTGGGGATGATTAAAGCACGTTACATTTATTGTGTGCTTTATTTCTATTATTATTACACATTGTAATATATATTAAAATAATTATGCAACTCACCATAATCTAGAATCAGTGGGAGCCCTGAGCTTGTTTTCCTGAACTAGGCAGTCCCATCTGGGGTTGATGGGAGACAGTGGCAGATTATCAGGCATTAGATTCTCATAAGGAGCATGCACCCTAGATCCCTTGCATGCAGTTCACAGTAGGGCTCGTGGTCCTATGAGAGTCTAATGGCTCTAACGATCTGACAGGAGGCAGAGCTCAGGCAGCAATGCAAGTGATGGAGAGCAGCTCTAAATACAGATGAAGCTTTGGTGCCACCACTCACCTCTTACTGTGCGGCCCAGTTCATAATAGGCCATGGACCTGTAGGTACCTCAGGGGTTAGGGAACCCCTGAGCTAAATAACTATTGGTCTATTTCTCAGGCAAGGTTCATAAAGATAGGAGTATTCAAGAAATCTGTAGCCTGTATATAATGGCACTCTTTATAATGCTACATAAACGCTAAGAATACACAAACAGTTTCAACATTATTTAGATTCAATGAGCTTTGATCTGTCCACTTTATGTGATGCTGAATGCCAGCAGGCACAGAACCAGAAGGGAAAGGTTGACAATCACTGACATGAGGAAAACATAATGCCACCTAGTGGTTTCTACACTATACTACAGTCACGTTTATGGATGGATAAACTGGGGCAGGCAGTCCAGCTTAAAGTCTCCCAAAATGAGATGAAACCTAGTAACTGGAGAATGTTCATGTGTGCCTCCCCTACAGAGACTCAGGGAACTCCCTGGTGAACTGTATGGGTTGTTCTGTATGCTTGGCACCATGGAGGCAGTACACATGCCCAGCACATGAACAACTGTGAGGACAGTTAACATTTGGCATGTGGATGACACGTACACATATGCAAGCGTGCAGAACACTGGCAAATACGAATGCACTGCAGCTGGATTAATTACTGATGACTACATTATTTTAAAGTTGACCCATTTGAAAGAAGAAATGACCTAGATATCACCTAAGAAAACCAAGAACGTTTCTTCTATGCAATGTGAATTAAATACCACATGACAGGATGGAAGATATAGCTCTGTGAGAAATAAAGGCAGCACTCAAACCTTTCAGGTAGAGAATTCTGAAGAAATAAAGAAGAGTAGTTGGAAGAGAAATGACTTTTCTATGTTTTGAGGCTTTTCTATATAAACTTCAGCAAAATCCAATGTATATTCTAAACTAACACAAGATCAGAAACACAAAAACTCAATCACAAGGTCCTGTATAGCTTTTTAGCTCAACTTAGGTTCATTCACTTGTTTCTAATCTTGTTTTTTCACAGTTTCCTATCTCATCTACTGCTCTTTAAAAAGTAAACTATTATATTAAAAAGGCCATATTGAAACTGCACATCGTTTGTGAGTTGAGCTCACAAAGCAAAGAACCACGAGCTGTTTTTCAAGGTTATTTCTGCCTTTGCAAATAAAAATGTGATATTTGCCATAGGCTTCAGAGACTACAGCAAGTTTAGATCATTTTCAGTAATATACTACCACCATCATTTTTCTTATGTAACATTTTCCACTTTTATGTAAGAAGTATTGAATTTTCCTCCTAAATGTTAAACCAAATAATGTAATTTTAATAGCAAACAATGATCAAAATATAAAAACATTTATAAAGTAGTCCTATGCTTATTCTCAAGTTTTCAAAATTGTTTCAGTTATCTATATAAGTAAATATAAGTATCTCACTCTAATTAATATAAATAGAATAAAATACAATTTTTAAAGTGGTACTTACTTTTCTTTGATGGTATCTTCCATTTCCTTGAATTTCTTTGACAAATTATTTGTTTTTTCAAAAACCAAAGCCTTATCACTTGGTAAGCCATGGCTGGATATCTCCTTCAAGAGACTATGCAAAACTTCAAGATCTTTCTTGTGTTCTAAAAATTCAGAAGTTGATTCCTACAAAGCATTAAGATATTTAGTCAATATAAATATTGCTAGATCTTCAAATGGCATTCCATTCAGAGGTCTGTACGGAATCAGAATGGCTCTATTCATAATTTCACATAAGAATGAGTCTGCCTATGGCCAGTATTCTAAATATAATAAACATGCAAATAGGCTTGAAAGAGAACACAGTAAACATTATTTGATTTAAAATGCATTCTATATTTTGTCTCTTTGTGGTTTCTGGTACGTAAGATGATACTTATACTACCTATGATATGTGTGATAAATGATATTTATTTCCAACCAATCAGCAAAGGCTTCAAGGAAAAGATAAGGTTTGAGATTTTTAAAGGAGTAAAACATAGATCTTTACTGATCTATAAGCAATTAAAATGATTGCCAATTATAATTCTGGCAATAAGTATATCAGTTTGCCCTAACTATTAATCTATCTGATTAGCCTCCTGAGTAGTAAGGAAGACATACCTGCATATACTGAGACAATTCAGTAACATCTTTTCCTGGCACATCTACTTCAGTAAGAGCCTGAGTTTTTGTTTCTAAAAATGTTTGGAGCTTTTCTGAGAGGTTCTCAAACAGTTCTACTTTGGTTTTTAGTTCCTCCATTTTAGCAAGAGTTTCTTTGTGTTTATGACTTGCTTCTGAAAACCGAGCAGACAAGTCTTTCATTTTGGCTTGCAGTGAGGATGCAGTGGATGGATCTGTTGTTTCCATAAATTTCTCCACTTTTTCATTCATGGCATTTATACTGCTCTGACGACCTGCAATATCCTGTTCCAGCATCTAAAATAAACCAAGTATTGCATATGTTTTATTATTATGTTTACCAATAATGTGACAGAATTTTTTAAAATGACTATTCCTAACAACATAAGCTTGCACAACCTGTGACTAGGAAGGTTAACCGTTGAAACTGAATGACAAGTTTGATCTGTCCCTTGAGGAATGCCATCCTAAACCTCTCCGAGAGAGTGAAGAACAGCTGGCTAGTTGCTTGAATGAGGCAGGAGGCTGCTGCTACTCAGCAACCCCTAGAATCTAATGGAGCCTGGGGATTAGCCATGGTCCTAATTCTTAAAAGACTAGACAAGACTGATCTGATTAACCTCATGTGCAGCTGGCTGAAACAATGATAAACAAGATAAGACTCAATGTATGCATAAGCCCTCTATAAGAAATAATATTCAAGAAAAAGTACACAAAGCCCTTCCTACACTTCTTCACAGATAAACCATTTTACACACTTGATTTTGTGCATTACTTTCCACACTCACATTCAGTAAATGTCTCTTTTTCACATCCTTAAATTTATCTTAAATCTATCTATACTTTGAACCTATAAAACTGTTTTTTCAAAAAACTGTAAATGGGACTTTTTTTAAAGTCACTTACAATGTTTTTACTGATGATATCCTGAAGAGCAGCAGAGTTTAAAGGCACTTGACCTTGTTCTTTCAGAGAACTTTCCACACTTCCCATCCAGTCCAGCATTTCATCCAAGCCATCCTGCACACTCAGTGAACGGGTCAAGGTTATCTGGAGTTTTTCATTTCGTTCATTAACAGACTTGGACAGATCCTCGTATCTCCCAACAATGTCATCTACTCCAAACAGATCAGGAAATATTAACAACAAAGTTCTCTTTGCCCTATCCCTTTTCAAAAACACATGAAGGTGAATCATACAATTTCCACATAAAAATTTTAAAAATAAAAAGTTCAATGATAAATTCCTAATGCATAATCAGAGCACCACCTAAAATGTTAAAATATAAAGAAAGAAAAGAGCCCAATGGAAAATGAAAATTGAAATCTTTTTTAAAAAGTTAATATATATCCCATCTGCATTTGAAAAGAGATTTTTTTGGATGCATAAACATTTGAATTGTCTCAGAGAGATGAAAGAATGGTACGAAGAGTAAATCTTTGAAATAAATACTGGTTCTCAATCTGACATTTCACATTAGCCATACTTATTGATAATTACCTATGGGGACAAAAAGGTGAGTCGCACACAGCTATTCTCAAGACAATACACAGTTACAAAGATTTATGAAGAATTAACTTCTACATATAAAAATCATCACTCTCTCTCCCTCCCTCACACACACCCATGCTAAGCTTTTGTCATACTTCACAACTTAAGCAAATCACTCGAATGCACAGAAACTGGCAGACGCAAGTAAGTTAAGAAAATAGGCAACAATGAAAATCCATTTAAGTTGAAATTATGCTTCTAAAATATACACTAATTGAATTTATTTAAAAGTTTAACAGCAGACAAAAGAGAAGAATAAACTTAACAGGCTAACCTATCTCATATGAGGATAAACTTTACCTTCAATTCTAAAGATTCAAGGTGCTAAAAAAAAAAACTCTTTCTGGTTTAGTTTTCACTTAACTAAAGTCCCACATGTTAACATCCTACATTCTATATTGTAGACCAATGAAGAGTTTGAACAATAATGGTTTTTAATGTATTCATCTCTTTCTCTCTGGAAAACAATGTTTTAAATGGTGAATTTGTCACTTATTGTCCAAGAATTTGAAAAATAGTTTAATTATTTCTGAATGCTTTAGTCTTACACATTGTAGAAAGCTTCAGTAGGGAAAAGCTGTGTCCTGAAACATCTCTATAAAATGAAATATCTTACTGGCTTGTGTTTGGACCATGAAACATAATCTATACAACAAAATAATATAATTGTTCTAATGCTACATCATGAGAAAACATCTTGAACATTTTCACTGGAGTGAGAGGTTAAGTTTGGATGATTTAAAGAGAAAATCATGCTCCTCTTACTAAAACACAATGAAGCCCATCAGCATACTGAGTGGGGAGGGAGACAGCATTTAATATGCAGGAAAATGCTGTCAGCAGAGGAAACAAGCAGTTGTTCAAAAATAAGCTCTAAACAATAGACGCTGGAGACTACTAGTTGGGGGAGAGGGGTGGGAAGGTAAGGGCTGAAAAACTACCTATTGCAGACTATCTCATTACCTGGGTGATGGGTTAGATCATATGCCAAACCTCAGCATCATACAATATACCTTTCTAACAAACCTGCATATGTACCCTCTGATTCTGAAATAAAAGTTGAAGAAAAAAATGAGCTCTAATTTGGAAACTCACAAGAGCACATGCTCTGAATGACAGCTTGAGGTTGGCAGGTTAGCGACTTCTCAGTTGGGCAACCGCATCAACAGGGTAAGTAAAATCAGTGATCTGTTCGGCCATAATAAGTGACTTCCCAAGGAAAGCCAGCTATTTTCATATAATTAACAGATCTGAGTGTTACTGTTTGCTGTAGAATAAATGTGTCCCCCAAAATTCATATATTGGTGCCAAAGTCCCAATGTGATAGTGTTGGGTGGTGGGGCCTTTGGAAGATGTGATATTACCATATAAGAAATATTTGGTCTCTGATCATAGCTCTTGACATAAAGTTCCTAAAATCCTTCTGATTTCCTCAGTAATACAGACACTAAGGACAATCTTTCGTTCTGATATTTGGTCATTGACCCCAGTTCCTGACACGGAGTTCCTAAGACCTTTGTGATTTACTGAGTGATAGAAGTGTATGACAGAGCTCCTAAATCCCTCGGAATTTCCTGAGTGAGGGGCATCTTTTGTTTGAAGGAAGTGATGCCTGGTGCCTTCTGGATAGTCTTAGGGTAGGGGGAGCAGGGGAGAGTGGCAGATGTTGCCAGGGAACCAACCAGGTGATTAGACAGTTGGAACTGTCACCCTCTCAACCTCTGAGGAGGGAAGAGGGGCTGAAGGTTGAGTTGCTACCAATGGCCAATGATGCAATCAATCATGCTTATGTAATGAAGCTGCCATAAAAACCCAATATGATTGGTTTGGGGAGCTTCTGAATAGCTGAACACATGGAGTCCTGGGGGTGGCACGCCTATAGAGGGCATAGAAATTCTGCTCCCCTCCTCCCATACCTCACTCTGTATATCTCTTCCATCTGGCTGTTCATCTGTATCCGTTGTAATATTCTTTATACTAAGTGGGTAAATGTAAGTAAAGTCTTTCTCTGAGTTCTGTGAGTCACTCTTGCAAATTAACTGAACCTGAGGAGGGTCAAGGGAACCCTAATTTATAGCTGATAATTCTGAAATATGGATCACAATTTGGGACTTGTGATTGGTATCTGAAGTGGGGATAGCATTATGAGACTGACCCCTTAACCTGTGGGGTCTGAAGTTAATTCCAGGTAGACAGTGTCAGAATTGAATTGAATTGAATTGAATTACGGGACATCCAGCTGGTATCTGTTGGAGAATTGTTTGGTGTATGGGGAGAAATACACACACACATCTGGTCACAGAAGTGTTCTGTGTCATGATCAATGGTGTATGAGAGTGAGTAGCAAAAACACTCAGATTTTTTCTCTCTCTCTGAGGAGGTAATTAGGTCATGAGTGTAGAGCCTGTGTGAATGGGATTAGCGCCCTTAGAAGAAGAAACAGGAGAGAAATGATGTCGCTCCACCACTCTCTACCAGCAAGATAGCAGCCATCTATAGGCCAGGAAAAGGGCCCTCACCAGAACCCGACCATACTGGCACCCTGATCTCTGACTTCCAGCCTCCAGAACTATGAGAAATAAATGTATGTTGTTTAAGGTATCTGGACGATGGTATTTTTGTTATAGTAGCCTAAATGAAGACACTGTTTAGTTTGTACTTCTTAGTGATAAAATATTGTCACTGAAGTAAATTCTTGACTTTAGTAAAATAAAAATTATTTTAGAAAAAGGTACAAAAATCTACTATAAGAATGTTATTTTCTTAAATCATTGGTTTTCTTAGAAGTCAGAAAGATCTTAGAGAAACTCCTCTACACCTTAGTTTCACACGTTTCCTAGAAAATTATGCCAGAAGTTTTAGTTTTAAAATAATGTAACAAATGAATTTTAAGCAACTAAAAGTGAAACTATGTACACTTAACAATGAGAAAAAATATCAAAATGCCTCTTCAAATAACAGAAATACAAATAAGATAGTCTTTCTTTCTCCTTCATATCCTTATACCCAAATCCTCATAGCATTGGTATCTAAGGTGGATATATGAGATGCTGCACTGGGACAGTGGAACAAAATGTTAGAACTTCCATTCATATTTTCATTTTATACTTTAAAACTCTATACTTGTGTTTCATAATTATAACACATATGATATAATAATATAGTAATATGTTCATATGACTTATAAATATATCTGCATGTATGGGGATGCAGGCTGAAGATAAATTTTTGATGGGGGTACATAATAAAAAACATCTGGATATGTGTAAGAATAAAATACAGGGTTTCCCTTCTACACAGTGATCTTAAAAGAGCTAAGTTCCATTCTTCTCTTCAAATAAAATTTCAACTCAGATCTTAATTCATGCTCTATTTAGGGCAAAACATATGTCTAATCATCTGTTGTGGAATATTTTTACTTCACATATTCACACATAGAAATATACAATAACATTAAATATTGTGAAAAGCAGGGCAGTAAAAACAAAAAATACATATGTAAGATAGTAAAAAATATATATTGATAATCCACTGCATATTTGATATAAACTAAATACTGTGGGTAGATACACAGATAATATACAATAGCTCTTTTCTCAAGAAACACATTAATCACAAACTCTTGGGCTTGAATGATCCTCCCCAAATGTTGGGATTACAGGTGTGAGCTTCTGCACCTGGCCTGAGAGATGTGCTTTGAGAAGTCTTCCCACTTCTCTGTGTTCTAGAATTTTTTTATTGGCCGCATTCAAATTGAGAATTCAGTTACCCCAATTCTTCAGTGATAATAGAAACTTGATTACGGCTGTAGTGGTACTTTTGTGCACAAAACATTTGGGGAGGATTATTTAAGCCCAGGAGTTTGAGACTAGCCTGGACAATATGGTGAGACCTCATCTCTACAAAAAAAATTTTAAAAATTAGCTGGGCATGATAGAGCACTGCTGTAATCCTCACTTCGCGGGAGGCTGAGATGGGGAAGTCAAAGCTGCGGTGAGACATGACTGTGCCACTCCACTCAGCCTGAGCAATAAAGTCACCCTGTCTCTAAAAATAAATAAATTCAATTTGATTCAATTAAGCACATCTTTCAACCTCTTAAACCCATGTTCCCACTATTGATAAAGACTTTTGGCCTTAAGTTGAAAGCCTTCCTCTGCCCAATCCCATCGACCAAGAGAATTTTGTGAAGTTCTACTTCCTGTGGTGGACATTACGTAGTGAGTTTCTGTTACGTTTTCTAAATATCAAATTTAAATTTAAATATACTATTTTCAAGACACACAGCTCCTGCCCCTAAGATTCTAATATACCTGCCAAAGAAGGCATGCCTTTTCCCAGATTCAGGAACACCATTTCACAGAGAAAGAGCACACAGAACACAATCTATAACTAGTGAACATTTTTCTCCGTATCTATTAGGACACCTTTCTTCAGAATTTACCTGTGAGACAGGAAGCAAGGACATGAATATCTTACCAAGTGTTTTCTGGATATCATTCTTGGCTGGAAGTAAAGATCCCCTGGCATCTAAAAGCACTTCAGCCGTTTTCTTCAGTTTCTCTACAGCAACCTGCTGACTTGATATCTGTCCTTGCAGAGCCTGTAGGATTAAATGCTTTTCAATTATACTCAGTAGGACTAAATAATAGATTTCTAATGTGGACAAAATGATTTCTAATAAGATAAAGTAAAACTGGACAGAATAAACTTCTCATCATACCAACTTTCACCATCAACTTATTCCAGAGTTCTTAGAAAAAGGCCAGTTATAAAGCAGCATTAGCAAAAGCATCAGCCAGTCTGGATAATACAAATTAAGTTGTGAAATAAACCCTTAAGCATATGTTCATAATAATTTCCCTGGTTCCTGGTCATACAATCCTCTAACTTTATCCCTTGAGTTACCCCTTAACCCCTACTTCTAGGCTTTGCACAATACCCCAACTACTACTAAAACGAACAACAAAAAAAAATTTGAGACCATTTTTGACTCCAGGTAAGGAGATAAATAAGCTCGCCCAAATCAGTAGATCCTGACTCAATACTGAGTCATGTTTATTTCTGTTAATTCAATAAAAGTTACTGAACATCTAACAAAATCAAAAAGTCTTGCTACATTTTGTGAACAAATAAAAATAAAAATGGACATGAAGCTTACTTTCAGAGATTTTATGGTCTGAGGCAGGAAGTGGTAAGTGCCACAGGTGAGTATGAAAAAAGGCTACTGGAAGTTAACAGGAAAAAAAAAATGGGAGGGAAATGAGGGCCACCTCAATGGTAGTGACACTGAGATGGCTCTTTAAGAAAGTGTGGATTTGGGAGAACAACTCCCTGCAGAACAAACAGAAGACACAAAGATGAGGACAGAAAAATCACAGGAGAAGGGGAGAGTCCAATTCAGTTTGACAATGCGTACAGGTGAGTAAATAGAAATAGGCCTGGAAAGGCCTCAAACGTCAGGCTAAGGAGTGTACATTTCATCTCACAGCAATGGGGACTTACGCAGGGCTTTTGGGTAAGGGGTTGACATGCTCAGGGCTGTCCTACAGAAAGGCTAAATTTGTGGCACTGCATGGGAAAAATCCAACAGAAACGAAAGAAAGCAAAGATATCAGTTGGGGACAACTTCAGCAGTAACAAAACAGTGAGGAATACTGAAGGCCGAGGGCTGAGGACAACTTCACTGTTCGGTCTGTTTCGACTGAGAAGGCGGAATTAGTTAGAGTTGGGAAGAGTCCAAAGGACTTGGTAACACTATGTAAAGTTGTGTTACCCACTATGGTAGCTACCAACTACATGTAGCTTTTAAAATTTAAATTAATTGAAATTTTAAACAATTAAAAATTCCATTTCTCGGTTACACTGGCCACATTTCAAGTGCTAAGTAGCCACTGTGGCTAGTGGCTACCAATTGAACACAGCAGAGTACCACTGGCGTGGTGGCTCACACTTGTAATCCCAACGCTTTTTGGGAGGCCAAGTTGGGAAGATCACTTGAGGCCAGGAGTTCAAGATCAGCCTAGGTAATAAAGTGAGACCTTGTCTTTACAAAAAAATTAAAAAATTAGCCAGGCATGGTAGTCTGTGCCTGTAGTCTCAATTACTCAGGAGGCTGAGGCAGGAAGACCGCTTGAGCCCAGGAATTTGAGGCTGCAGTGGGCTATGATCATGCTACTGTTAACTCCAGCCTGGGTGGCAGAGTGAGATTCCCACTTTCTTAAAATAAATAAATAAATAAATAAAATTTTTAAAAAATAAAAAATTTCATCATCACAGAATGTTCTATTAGACAGCACTGCTGTAGGGAGCAGGAACAAAGGATAAGAGGAGACAAGAGTAGAAATGTCCAAAGATTTTGAGCCTAGGTAATCAGTGGAATTTACTTTTGCTTTTTTTTGGGGGGCAGGGGGGAGGACAGAGTCTCACTCTGTCGCCCAGGCTGGAGGGCAGTGGTACAATCTCGGCTCACTGAAGCCTCGACCTCCCAAGCTCAGGTGATCCTCCCACCTGAGCCTCCCAATTAGCTAGAACCACAGGTATATGCCACCATGCCCAGCTAATTATTTTGTATTTTTTGTAGAGCCAGGGTTTTGCCACATTGCCCAGTCTGGTCTCAAACTCCTGGGCTCAAGCAATCCTCCTGCCTCGGCCGTCCAAAGTGCTGGGATTACAGGAATGAGCCAATGCTCCCTGCCAATTAGTGGAATTTATTTAAAAAAAAAAAAAAAAAAAAAAAGTGAGAGCAAGCTTAGAGTAAAGGAATGCCTGTTTTGGAATTCATGATTTCAAAGTGCTTTTGGGACCCTCGTCCAGAAGGAAACAGCAAAACTGGAAATGGGAGAGACTTGGAACCCAAACTGGAAACAGACCCAGAGAATTGGAAGTCAAGACACATGATGTGACTCCCAAACAAGAAAGCACAGGCATGCCAGAGAAGGAGATTCTAAAGAATCATGGAGAATATTTATATGTAAGTGATGGGGAGAAGAAAAAAAAAAGAACACATGTAATTGGTGGGGTGGAAATGGGCCCAGAACAACTCCGTCCCCAAAGATTAAAGGAAGAGAGAAGTGGAAAAGGTTAACAGTGTCAATTGCTTCGGAAAGGATAATGTAAACTGAAAGACTAATGAGTCCTGGATTTTAATGAATAGCGGTCCCTGCACATCTCTGAGTGAACAGATGTGGCTCAACAATGGGAAGGAAGAAAAAAAAGGTAGAAGCAGAAGCCATAGATACGTCTTCCAGAAGTTGGACCCTGCATTTCTAACAGCTCTGACAGATCTCTGTAAAAGTGGGCTGCCTGGCCACACAGGTCTATCCCCGGCCTTAATTTCTCTTAAGCAACTCACGCTCCTCTTCTACTCTTTCATTTGGATTTCAAAGCCCCCAGTGTCCAATTGTAGATGTGAACTCATCCTTGGCCATGGGCCTAGCTTTCCAACTGCCTCTTGAGTGTTTCCATCTGGGTGTATGCAGTCACCTCCAACTCAAAAAAGCTAAATCTGAACTCATCATCTCATTCTCTGTACCTGTACTTTCTCCTGGGATATATCTACCTACCCAAGTAGTCAACCTGAAGTTCCTCCTAGATTCCATCCTAAGGCTTCTTTTCCACATGCAAATCAACCATTTAAAGCTTTTTTTCCACACATGCAAATCAATCAACAATTTTACCTGCTTAATATTTTTTAAAAGTCAACTTTTGCTCCATATTTCTGTATCATTACAGGATAATCTCTCACTTGGATTGTTGAAAAAAGAATCCTGTGTTCCTTTCTCCAATCACTTCTCTAATATAGCTCCTAATGTGTTCTATCTAAAATACATATCTGACCACATGTCACCTCGATATAGTTTGGATATCTGTCCCCGCCCAGATCTCATGTTGAAATGCAATCCTCAACGCTCAAGGTAGAATCTGGTGGGAGGTGATTTCTCATGAATGATTTACCATCATCATCGTGGTGCTGTCCTCAAGACAGTGAGCGAATTCTAGCAAGATCTGGTCATTTAAAAGTATGTAGCACTTCCTCACTGCCCCCATCTCTCTCTCTTTCTCTCTCTCCTCTCTCTTACTTGCTTCTGCTTTTGCCATGTCACATGCCTGCTCCTGCTTTGCTTTGCATGGTGAGTAAAAGTTCCCTGAGGCCTCCCCAGAAGCTGTGCGATGTCAGTGCCATGCTTGTACAGCCTGTAGAATTGTGAGCCAACTAAACTTCTTTTCTTTATAAATTACCCAGCTTCAAGTATTTCATTATAGCAACACAAGAACACCCAAATATAACCCCCTGTTAAAATCTCTTAGTAGTCTCCCTTCACAAAAAGGCCAAGACTTGAGCATGCTACAAAAGGTCCAACGAAACCTATTCCCTAATTCTACCTTCAATCTCAACTTTCTGTTCCAGAAATGTCCAACACAGCTATTTCTTAGCTATTTACTCATGCTGGACCCAATGTCTTAGTAACTCTACATATCAACTTTTTCATACAACCTTCCCCCATCATCCTGAACTTGGCTCTTATTCACCTTTTAATACTCAGCCGGAAAACCTTTCCTAAGTCTCTCCTCACTCCTAGCTTTGGTAAGTACTCCTTACAGGAACTCCCATAAATATCCTGTGACTATTATTGGATTTACCTGTGTCTTCTATCAAGCTATAGCCTTCTTGAGAACTAGGAAGTCATCCCTTTCAGCTTTCTATTACTAGAGCCTAGATCAGTGCTTGACACATAGCAGGCTCCAAAAAATTTTTTCTGGAATAAATGAGCAACTAAGTAAATAAATGAACATATCAGATGTAAAACCTAAAAAGGTTATCTTCTATTTCAGCACTATTTATTATCATTATTTATATGCCTAAAGCTAATGGTAAAATTTCCTCAACTAATATTCATAATCCAAGAAACTGAGATTACACACAGGCAGTCTATGCCTATGTCAAAAGGCCCACCAAACTATGACCAACATAGGATCTAGAATACCAGAACCTATAGTTGTTTCAAGATGCCAAAGAATCCTCATCAGAATGGATCTGTTTGAAAAATTCTCCTAGCAGTTTAATTATGGAAAGTGTAAACAAATCCCTCAAGACATGAACTTTTTACCTGTGACCAGACTGAATTCTAGACCACAGGGACAGCTTATTCACGTAACATGGTGACTTAGGAGATGAAGTAAGTGAAGGGTGCCCTCCGAAAATTGTTTTTCAGAATGTGAGTTCACCAAGCGCAGAGACAGGGTTTTAACATCTTTGTGCCTTCATGAAACTCAGTATACAAACGTTTACTGAATGAATGACATCTAAAAGTGATCATGGGTCTATTAGAATATCCAATACCAAAGACGGCCCTGACTACCAGCTTAAAACTTAAAAGTGAGTTATAAAAGAAGCATGTCTTCTTCACCTCTTCTTGTCAAAACATCCCATCCTTTTACTCTTGACAGATACATTCAAGAGAGTTAATCATTTTTAATTCCTAGCATGTATTATGGTCCTAATTTAACGATAATAGTTGTTTATAGTGCTATTTTGGAACAAAACTGTTAATTACATATTCATATGGGTACCTTATATTGTTTTGAATGAATTTCAAGGAAATTAAAACATGAAAGAAGGATCTGTGAGAAGAGAATACCTGTTGGGACCAAAAGACAGCAAAGTCTATAAACTTCTGGGCATTCGTCCAATTCATAAAAGTTTCCTGACTTAACACCACCCCAGAGATCAGTGCAAGTCTGGAAGGCTGACATTGTCAGTCGATGTGATCCCCATTGCTGGTTCCACACCCAGGCCTTGAGACCGGTCCCAAAATCCTGTTTTCTGCACCTCTTATGGGGCTAAAGTCTTGTTTTATCCACTAATTTCCCTGGAAGGGGATCATGAGGAGTGTTATTATGGCCTAGTAGTATCAGACTGTTGACAACACAGTTAACAGTTCTTTGAATAATAATGTTAATAACAACATGCTATTGGCCAAACGTATTTCAAATGAAATGAACAAATTGGGTGCCCCAAAATTACATTTACGATACATCAGAATATAAGTAGAAGATAATATGTTACAGGTAGAAAGACTGATTTTTTGTAGTAGTCTAATGGGTTCATATTATTGTTAAAAGTAATTATACAATGTTAATAAACATGAAAGAAATGAAGGCCACCTAATCCTCATAAAAACTTATCCTTGATACATTCTGAAATCTTCTGAGAGAAAAATATGTGCATTATCAGCAACAAATTTAATTGTACATTTAATTTTTTAAATTACACTGTGACTTAATTAGAGTTCATTCTCCTTTGAGATCTCTTTCCTCTTCATATTTCTTTAACTGTCTTAGGGCTGTAAGAGTCTTCTTCTGCAGCAATTACTAAATAGGTTTTTCCATTTTAAAATTTATCTATGCATCTGTTTAATTAAAAAACCATCACATTCTTTTGGGTTTTTTTCTTTTTTTGCTCTAGTTATATAAAAATCACTTTTATATGGAATATAATCTGTTTACTAATATAGATCTAACTTAAGATGTGTTATTTCTATTTTATGTATTTTCTATACTTAAAATAACTTCCTAATTAATTGTAATATATGCAATCAATAATTATTTTAAATGATATGTATTTCCTACTAAAATAATGATCTTAATGTCACAGTATCTCCTCTATGCCCACCACATATCTTGTCCTTGAATATACAATACACTGGGAACTAAAAACTTAATTAAGATAGATTTGTTCTTGTACCTGTGGAAAAAGAGAAAGAAAGGAAAAAAAAAAAAAAACAGGAGTGAAAATGCACATTGGAAAAAAGGAAGCAACCCTGAGGAGGTTGCATGGATCTGGGGATGCTGACCTGGCCCACGACATCTCCCTAGTGTCCAGTGAAGGGCTGGATAAACTCTTCAGCCCAGGAAAGAAGCAGTGCCCTCCACCCTCTTGACCTCCTGGCTTGACCTCCTTCCCTGCTCTCACCCTATGCTTCCCACCCCTTCACAGGCCTTCTCTCTGCCTGACATTAACCTGCCACATTTCACTCAGGTGTGACTTAGCTTTCCTTAGCTTTCCAGAGTTGTCAATCTCAGGCAATACCTAACTTTAAGCTTGCCCATCAGGGTACCTGTTTCCCGTGTCAACAGCACAATGACAATTTCTGACTCTGTAAATAATATGCAATTAACTTCTGAAAGACAGTTGTCTAACTGGCAATCCTGTGTTTATTTTCTAGCTATAGCAGTAATAACCTACTAGTATTAACCTGCAAAATGGAATCATGTAATAGATTTCTGAAATGAAAATTTTAAAATCAAAATTACTGGTCACATTAGCTCTCATCCTTTACTTTAGAATTTTAAAATAAGTTTTAGATTATAAAAATAGATTAAAAACTCTCTGCTGCTGTATGACTGAGAGTCCCACAGTTATGCAGTTTTGACACTGAGCCTGTATTTCTGAAAGAGCAGGTGGACTTTTTGAGAATTGTACTGAGTAATTACTCAAGTTTGTGTCTCTATGAATCATGAAGATATTCAGTAAGAACCCTAATCCTGGTCCTTAGAACTGCTGAATATGATGGTAGCATCCCTTCTTCCCTTCCAGCTGTCCATTCTCTAACAAATATTTATTGAGTACCAACTTTGGGCCAGGTAATATTCTAGGTGCTGGGAATACAGCAATGAGTAAAACAGACAAAAACACCTGTTCTTGTGGAGCTTAACTCAAATGGAGGAAAAAACAGTGAACAAGATAAGTAAGTATATAGATAAATAAGTGGCCAGGAAAATAATGAGTTTTGTTTGGGGATTGGGGGGGGGGGGGGGCACTGGAATGCAGGTCAAAAGCCATAAGAGCAAAGTCAAACCTGTTAAAAAACATCAGGAAAGCCAGGCACAGTGGCTCACACCTGTAATCCCAGCATTTTGGGAGGCTGAGGCAGGCAGATCACCTGAGGTCAGGAGTTCGAGACCAGGCTGGTCAACATGGCGAAACCCCATCTCTACTAAAAATACAAAAATTCACGTCTGTAGTCCCAGCTACTTGGGAGGTTGAGGCAGGAGAATCGCTTGAACCCAGGAGACGGTGGTTGCAGTGAGCCGAGATCACGCTACTGCACTCCAGCCTACATGATGGAGTGAGACTCCATCTCAACAACAACAACAACAACAACAACAAAAAATCAGGAAAAAAAAAATGTACTGTGGAGAAATAGAGTCAAAACTACCTCTGGAGGCAGAAGTATACTTTTCACATCATTTGTTCCCCTCTCTTAGCTGAAACTATCACAAAAGAATGAGAAATTGAAAGTCTTTCAGTAAGACTACTGGAAATTTGGACCTTTCTCTCTCTTTTTACCTTCGTCTCTTCTAATTGCCTTTGAAGATTTTTGGGGTCCACCGCAATAGGTTCAGATAAGTGTTTGCTCGCTGTGGCCTCACAGGCCTGGAGTCCAGAAAGAAGTCCACATGAAGCATCTTCATAGTGTTGATATTTATCCACCAGATCTTTAAGATTATTTCCAAGAACATTGCACTAACAATCAAAAGGGAAAGCGGTAGGAGATTAAAACCCACTATTTTCATATGCATCAAATAATCTTAGGACCTATAAAATCTGTAACTTGGAAAAAAAAACAGACTTCCACCAAAGTTAATAAAAACTCTGTAGGGCTAAGATTTTCTCCTTTATATGAAGAGGTACGCTATAAAAAGCCAAAAAGTAACATAAAATAAAGAGACAGTTCTGGATTTATACCAATTCAAAAACATATTTATAGAGCTGAGTCTTAATGTAGAATAAAAGGTAAAGATATCAATCATCAGAGGAAGGAAATTTTGATACACCATGTGTATAGACATGGATTTGATGGAAGGGTTTTAAAGGTGCTTAATAAATTTCTGTATGTTGCACAAGATTAATTAACAAAAGGAAGACAGAGTATATATTAGAATGGAGCAAAGTCCAAGAGCCAATGATGGTCTTTAAATCATCTATGCAACTTGGCAAGTCTGTTCAGATTATATTATAAACCAGAAAATATTTTCTTAGATTTTTTTTTTCAAAAAAACACTTTTACTTGACCACAAAAATAAAAGAAGCAAAACAGTCTTTTATTCATTAAGTATTAAAATAATATACTGATCAAATATACAAGACAAACACCTGCAGTGAGATGAAACCAGTTCCCAAGCTTGAGAGGCTGCAAGCATCTGTTTTCGCTTAGAGTCAATGCACAACCGCCATCTTGTGGTCACATTGGATATTAGAGCATTTGGGAGCTGGGACTTCTGGAAATCACGCTCTCAAAACTAAAGTAATTTTAAGTTTCTAATCTTCAAATACATTGTTCAGAAGTAAAGCAGGTGAATAGGTAGAGAGAAGGCCGGGCACCATGGCTCACAACTGTAATCCCAGCACTTTGGGAGGCCGAGGTGAGCGGATCATGAGGTCAGGAGATCAAGACCATCCTGACTAACACGGTGAAACCCCGTCTCTACTAAAAATAAAAAAATAAAAAAAATTAGCCAGGCATGGGAGTACATGCCTGTAGTCCCAGCTACTCGGGAGGCTGAGGCAGGAGAATTGCTTGAATCCAGGAGGCAGAGGTTGCAGTGAGCCAAGATCACGCCACTGTACTCCAGCCTGGGCAACAGAGTGAGACTCCTTCTCAAAAAAGAAAAAATGAAGTAGGCTAAAACTACCTTTTCCTCCTGTTTTGGATTTTAGGTTTCTTGCCACTTAGTCCAAAACTATAATTGAAAACTATAATTGCAGATTTACTTTTCCCTTAAAAAATCAAAATAACATTACCTTAGAGTAGAGAGACCTGAACCGATCAGTAGCATGATCCAACTTGTGCTGCACTTCTCTGTGGGTTGCAGAAGTATCAACCTGGCCACCATCTCTCTTGCTGCAAGATTTGGCAGCTTCTAACACTCTGTTTCCAGAAATTGTGATGTATCTCAAGTCACCTTTGTGAGAAATAACGTCTTCTGAGAAACTCTTCTGCCTCTTCAATTTGGTCATTAAACCATTGAGGTCATCTGCACCTGCCTCCAGGTTTTCAAGTTCTTGTTCTGACTGCTGTAGCCAGTGCTCAAACTCGGTATAGTCAGCATCAAACTTTTCTAATTCTTCCTGCAGAGAGTGAGTTAACTTCATTTTCTTCTCTGACTCAGCCAGTGCAGTTTCATAATGCGCTTTCAGTTCTTTCATGTTCTTTTGCAGTTTCTCTTTTTCTTCAGGAGAGAGATACTGACCCTGTTTCTCAAGCAACACTTGTGCAGACTGAGTGGCTATGATGACTGCTTGGTGCTGAGAGATGATCTTCTCGTGTTGGGCCTATGTGAAAACAAATTGATCATAATCTTCAAGCAGTAACAGGGTTACACCAAGGCTGCAGGGAGCTCCCTGCCACCTCAAGACTGACAGGTTTCAGTGATCTACTGGGCTACAACTTGCTTCTCATTCCCCTTTTCAAGCTATACCATACTCCCTTTTATTGGTGAATTTCAGAATAACAAGGCATTTTGAGCATGCTAATCTTATTTTAAAGGACATTTCCAATCTTCTCTATGTACTTAATCAGATAGGACAGGCACCATTTTTCAGAAGTTTGGAAAAACAAATTTCTATTCCAATTCTAAAATAAGTGTCTATAATCTGATCTCATTTTATTCCCTGCTTTCTCACAACTACCAAAGAAAAATGTCTTTACCTAATTTTGGGGCAAACAAGTATAATATTTTTTTATTACAAAATGATTCTGGAAAAACTTTTAAATAGGGAAAAAGAATCTGTAACTTTAAATAGGGAAAAAGAATCTGTAAGCTTTAAAAAGGTTTCAAAAATAACTAAGCTAGAACACTGTACATTCAGAGAAGCCCAATGGACATTAGAGAAGCAGATATAATAAAAAGAGAATCCTGGAGCTACTCAGCTTCACTGGGCCTCAGTTTCCTGCATGTGAAAATGGCGACAATAACTCCTACACATCACAGGTTGCTGTTAAGGAGTACATGAGATCGCATATGTAGAGCACTCCCTGCAGAGCTGGGCATGTGCCAGAAATTCAAATCCACTCTGAAGGCAGGAAGGCAGGGCTCCCAGGCAGGTGTGCTGCAGGCAGGTCACAGGTATGCAGGGCTACTGATCCCCTCAGTCTTCAGGGCAGCAGGGAGGCATTAGGCAGGTGAAGTCCCTTTCCCCCCAGACATAAGCACCTTCTTCCATTCACCCCAATATGCCATACAAGTGTGGCAAAAAGGATACCAATCCTTTGGGAGGGCAATTTCCCACATTTCTTATACTGGCTTACATGGAGCCAAATGACCCACTCCCACTACCTCAGAGCCCCTTTTATTACCTCCAGATTCTTTGCTACTCCCACCCTCACCTCCATTCCCACCCTGGTAAACACTTTAGGACCTTTGTCTCCTGTTGTTCTTTGTCTAGTTACAGCTCTTTCATCGGATTATCTGCTTGGCTAATTGCGCCCATCTCCATTGAGTCCTATTCAAATGCTGAAAACTGGTCCCCCACCCCACACTCAACCACCCTTACCTAACTCCTTTTCTCCCTTAGTACTCACTGCCTTCTAACCTACCATATAACTTAGTTATTGTCTGCTGTAACATTCTCACGAACCAGAGTGCAAGGGGGGGGCGCAGGGAATTTATTTTGCTCACTGTAGAATCCCAAGTACTGAGAACAGTGCTGGCACACAGGAGCTGAGTGACAATAACTCTGTGCTGTGAAAAGGACTTCTTTAGAAGGACTGCTATGGGGCAGCCATTCACTTGTAAGTCTGATACCAATTAGTCAACTCAGAACTGGCTCATTAACACTGACATCCTGTCTATAACAGAGCCCGCCACCTAGTGGGCACATAGTAAATATTTTTAACTAACTTCTTTCCCATAGACTTGTGTTTCTGGTATTTGAAATACATTCATATGCTACCCCCCACCTCCAAGAAGGGCTTTGCACAAAATAGGATGGACAGACATATTCAACACCATATAAACGATCAGATCTGTCCCCTTCCTCTTACAGATGAGGAATCTCAGGCTGAAGGAGGAGAATGGCTTGGCCCAGGACATATAGGACAACTACTGAAAGCTAAGTTCCTGGCTCAGGCGCTGTGGCCTTCTCTCCACGCTATCAGATTAGGACTTTTTTTTTTTTTTTTTTTTTTTGAGACGGAGTCTTGCTCTGTCACCAGGCTGGAGTACAGTGGCATGATCTTGGCTCACTGCAACCTCCGCTTCTGGGTTCCAGTGATTCTCCTGCCTCAGCCCCCTGAGTAGCTGGGATTACAGACTGCACCACCACACCCAGCTGATTTTTGTATTTTTAGTAGAGACAGGGTTTCACCATGTTGGCCAGGATGGTCTCAATCTCCTGACCTTGTCATCCACCTGCCTCAGCCTCCCAAAGTGCTGGTATTACAGGTGTGAGCCACCACACTTGGCCCAGATTAGGACTTTCTAAAGCACAGATTCCCATATTCTGTGAGGTAAAATGATCAGATAGGAAATGCCACGCTGTGCCTAAAACCAAGGGCTTTCCTGTGCAATATCTTTAAGTCTACCCACCAGTATTTCTCACTACTTTGGTCGACTTACTAACCTTTCCTGACTTCTTTGTAACTGACTCATAATGTTCCTTTATGAATTCACTAGATTTTTTCATTTTAAGAGACTTTTATTTTTCATAATAAGGTCCTATAGTAGCCCCTTAAAATTGTGAACAGTAAATACTCCCATTCTTCTTCTGGTTTAATTTGTATTTTCTATAAGAACCTCACAGGGAGTATCCTATTCCAAAGATTCCAAATATGAAGAGTGGGAGGAAAATAAACAGAGCTGCAAAAGTTTCTGAGGTCCAATCATCTAACTGTCAAAAGCCAAATATTGACATAAAATGACTGACACTTTATAAATGGTTCTACAGAAGTCGCCTTTGCTCCTATAGTAGCATTAACGTTAGCTTTAATTTATGTCATGGAGTAAACTGGTAGAAGGGCTTTTCTATCTCTTCTCAACAACAGCCTTAACTGAATAGATGAGCTGAGCTCAGAAAGAACTTAAGTGAGCTCAACTTAGGCCGGGCACAGTGGCTCATGCCTGTAATCTCACCACTTTGGGAGGACGTGGGCAGACTGCTTGAGCCCAGGACTTCGAGAGCAGCCTGGGCAACATAGTGAGACCTCATCACTACAAAAAATAGAAAAATTGGCCAGGCATAGCAGAACAGACCCAGCTACTCAGGAGGCTGAGGTGAGCCATGCTTGTTTCACTGTACTCTAACCTGGGCGACAGGGTGAGACCTTCTCTCAAAAAAAAAAAAAGATTGTTCTCTTAGAACACAGATTCAGATTTAGCAGAGTGAGCATATGGCCTAGTTTTAAATCCAAATTCCAGCCCTTTCTAGATGTGTAACTTCAGAAAGCTACTTTAATACTGTCAGTCACAGTTTCCTCATCTGTAAGATGAAAATAAAAACCCCAAAGAGTAACTGGGAAGACGAAATGAGTTAAAATGGAAAGAACTTAGAAGAATGCCCACTTTAATTGTTCTATAAATGTTAACCATTATTATTTTTTATTAAATCTTTATAATAATTCTACTTCACTTACATGGAGAATGCCAACTCTACAGTTTATTTCTCATTATTTTTTGACTTGCTTAGAACTCTCATAATAATTTATATCGGACATGATGAACTCAGAAAAAAACCTCTTTCGTCATTAAGGTTTGAAAAGAATGCATGTGCTAGGTTATTTCTCTCTTTACCGACCTTGAAATAGAACTGAATTATATCATATGTTTACAACAACATACCTTAACTTTCTGATATTGCTGATTCAGATTCTCCTGAGTGGGTCCAACTTGCCCATCAACATCAGTCTCCAACAGGTTACCATTAACTTCATCCTCTTCTCCAATTGCTGACTTGCCATCACCTTCTTGAAAATGGGTCCCGTTCTGTTCGATTACCTGTCTGTGTTTCGTCCCTGCCCTTTCTGAGTCTTCGTCAACATTTGACAACCAGTCCAAAAGGTTTTCTATTTTGGTTTTGCTCTCTTCCAGCTGCTTCACTGCCGCAACCTGGGGAAGGAAAGTTCACAGAAGGAATTCAGAACGTGGGCCAAGACACAGTTTTAAGACATTCCAAAAGTAAACACTTAGAACATTTTAAATTAGAATGAGGGTACTAAAAACTGACACACATTGAAAACTTAACACACTGAAATTAAACCCTAGAGCAACAGGCAGTTACTTTGAAGTTTCCCCTGTTCTTAAAAATACATTTCAAAATTTTAACTATAATTGATGAGTGATCACACATTTCACAGGAAGAAAGTTTCACAACCTCACTTAAATATTAAGAAAAAGTTAAGGAAAGCCAACTCTTCAAACCTTTTGTAGTAATTGGTCAATTATGTACCTGGAAATCCAGAATCCTATAATAAACCTTAGTGATAATCCTTATTTACTACCACTGGATATCACTTAATAATAAATCAAGTAGCTGTTAGGCTAATCATTTTTGACATAGTAATAGTGCACCACATATTTGAATAAGGACCTTTTCAGTTTCTTCCTTGATTGCTGTTGTCACAACTTTATCCAGCTCCTTTTTAGACTGTTCTGCTTTTAAATTAAGCTGTTCACACTTTATCTTAGCTTCATTAAGTTTCTGTTCAATCAAAGCCTTATCTTCCCGTGACAGCTTTTCACCATTCTCTTTTAAGAAGTTCTCCGTGTTTTTCACTACTTCAGCCAATGCCTGTGCACTTCCTTGCATATCTTTCTGTAATTCCTTATAACACAAAATAAAAAAGTATATTTGATTAAATTATTACCTATTTAGTTCTTCCAGAGTTGTAATTCTAAAAGACAAGGTGAGTAGAGAGTCTAGTACATGTAGTCTGAATACACACATTCAGTATGTTAATTTGAGTTGATTTATTTCAATCACAATACTTAATATAATTTGAAACTCAAACAATATTAAAGAAAAGCATGGATTTTCATGTTTAACAAAAGAATGCAGTCAGTGAAACACTGACAACGTATTAAGAATTCAGTATATGATCTATACAAATTTGTACACACCAGATTTTTTTATATTATATGAGCACATGTACAAAGGCTTGTAAATATATGGTAATATTTATTGTTTCTACACTTTTATTTTTTAATGTGTTTATTGCTCAGGATAAAAATGAACTAATTTTCCCAGCAAACTATGACACTTCCCTTTTCTAAACACCAGAATCTGTAATACGTAATGTTTGCTTCTTCGCCTGGCTGCTAGGTACCTCAAGATTAAGATATCTCCTCAGTAGTTATAGCTTTCCTACGTCTAGATTTTTCCATGTAGTTTTTCCTCTTCTTTTCCTCGGTTATCATGCATTTTCATTCTCTATATTATACTGTTTGAGTTTTAATATTATTTTTTCCATACTTTATTTTAATCCTCTTCAAATTGTCTTAAATAGTATTTGAATTGAAAGAAATCCTATTAATTGAGCCACGACTATGTGACCTTAACTGTGCTAGTGACTTAACACACACTATTTACTTAACTTTTATAATAATGTAACAATGAAAGTGTGACCTATGAAGAAACTGAGGCTCTGAGAGACTGTTATAAAGCTAACAATATATAGAGTCTGGAATCTGAACCAGGAGCTATCTACTTACAGTGAAAATGTTCTCTCTCCTGACACCAAAATAAAGATATCTTTATCTGTTGTTACTGTTATTTTTCCCTTTCCTTCAATAAAAAGGAACAAATTACGATATGAGAAAGATGGAGTAAGAAGGAGCTAAGAAAGAGAAAAAACCCAAACTGATGGCTATTTCCTCTCATTTGCAAGTCATAATTAGGTTGGCCTTAAATGGATCCAAATTCTAATTCATCACACAAGGTATTTTCATTATCAAATCCCCTTTAATATTTCCTCCACTCAATATCTCTTACCAAAAAAGTCAAAAAAATCACCTAGCTTGCTTGAAGTTGGAAATCTAACTTTTAGTATAAAGTTTAAAGATCAAGCCCAGGGTGTCTTGGGTATGCCTTGCTTCTAAAAAGCTAAAATTACCGGTATTTTCAATAATCTTCACTGACTTCCAAATGATAGTAATCGAACATAACATCAACATAGAGCTGCTGATAGAAAACCAAATTCTACCTCTTGCTTGGACTGATATTTCTTTAACTCAACTGTGCCATCTCCAATCATGAAGGCTTCTTGGTGACCAATTAGGCGGTTTTCAGTTTGGGTAAGAAGATCACATATCCCTTGGAGTTTCTCTTTATACTCCTGCTGACGCTCTGCTACAATCTAAAGTGAAGAAAACCCAAAACATCTGAAATGTGCGGTGGTCACAAAATCGCTATTGTGATAGCTTCTTATTAGAATACATTTTCCAAGTTTTGTCTAATAAGCTTTTATAAGTATGCTGTAAACATGATAGCAGTAGGGTACAAACTGAGCAAGGTGAGACAGAAAATATGAGCATATTCCATATACAAGGAAAGTGATCATGTTTAGATGAAACTGCTCAACAGAATACTGGCCATGCATATTTGTAAGAGATGGAACTTCTGACCAACAGGAAGAAACATCCCATTTTCTTAAGCTCTTGAAACCTGCGACACATAGAATTAATTCTGCAAAAGGACATCAAAAGAGAAGTTAGTTGTGATTTGTAGGTTAACATATTTGATATGTGTATATAGGTTATCATGCTAGAGACAATGTCTGATGCTTCAAGAAATAATAAAAGGAACACTGCATGCAATATTTTTACTTAATCACTATGTCTAAGTGCATTCTCACCTCTTTGCTCATTATCGCTATTAGATATAGTACTCACATAATTCATTAAATATTCTAAAAGATTAAGAAGTCAACACTAATTACTTGCACTTTTCATTTTCCTACTCTATATACACTAATTATTCATCTTATAGCCATAGATCATGTTTACTAAGAGCCTAACACAGGCTAGGCAAGATACTAAGTGTTTTACATACATTCTTTTTATCAATGCTCACAATACTAGCAGGTAAGCACTATAGTTATTTCCAATCTACCAATGATTAAACTGAGGTTAAATGACTTGCCCTAGTTCACAGAATGAATGAGTCGCACAGCTGGGATGTGAAATCAGTCAATCTAGCTCCAGAGCCCAGAATTGCTGTGCTGTATTGCTTCCCAGAAGAAAACGAAACTCTTAATTAACCTTCTTTAGCCATATGTTCATCAATGTGTTAAATTTCAAAGTGCATTCAAATTTCCTAGTCTTGGGACGGGGGGCAATCAAGACTTTCACTTGAAATTAAGTATTTTGGGGAGTCAAAAAATTAAAATCAACTAAATTGTAGCATCATTAGTGAAAACAATATTGTTATACACTGTAGGATTTGTATGTACACTGTATCTTATCCACTAATGCCTTTCCAGAAGATCTTTCCTGTCACACTATACTCCTTGGGTATCTACATTATGGTTTCACACTAAAAACAAAGAATGCCAACTCCACGAAGAAAGGCAAACCTTCTGATCATCAAGATCTTGTTCTAGATGTAACTGAGTCTCTAAACGTTCCACCTGGGTAGTCACTGACTCCTGTACATCAAGAAAACACTTCTGAGTTGTATTTAAGAGCCTCAGCAGTTGTTTGCTTTGGTTGGGAGACAGATCCTGTGCATATTCAGAAATGAAGAACTGCACATCGAAGGCAGTAGTCTCCAGCTGCATTTTGGTATGTCCAAGGTCTTTTAATACATTCTGTTAAAAAAAGTGGTAAAAGTTATCAGTAGAAAGCTAAGCCATGATAAAATTTATATTAACAATAACATTTATATTTTGTAAATACACTTCTCACATCAGGGAATGCAAGTTTTATGAATTTTTTTGCTATTCATCAAAAATCTATTTATCATCCAGTAATAAATGATAAATTAATTATTTAAATACCATGGTAGTTAGTATTATATAAAAAGATAAATAACCCCTCTAAAAATGGTTTATCTTTACCTGTCACACTGCACTTAAAATATAACTCTGACAAAAGGAAAAGACCTAACTTAGGTATATTTAGCACACTGAAGAGAAACATCTACCTTAAAATATTACTTGCTAACATTTACAACATCCATGTAATTGTGATAAGATATAAATAATACTATGGGGGATTTGAAATATGAATGAAATATGCCAGAATTTCAGTTTTCTGACTCTCAGGCCAGGAGCCTAATCATTGTTCATGAGGAATGCTGTTCAAAGTAAGAACTTGGAAAAAAAAAAAAAAGGATGCCAAAAGTGACTAACATATAAACACAGTCATGAGCCACATACAACAGGTCACATATCAAATGGTGGTCCCATAAGATTACAATGCCTTATTTTTCCTGTACTTTTTCTATGTTTAGATACACAAATACCACTGTGTTACAACTGCCTACAGTAGTCAGTACAGTAACATGCCGTACAGGTTTGTAGCCTCGGAGCAACAGGTACATCATACAGTCTAGGTGTGTAGTAAGGGATGCCATCTAGGTCTGTGTAAGTACACTCTTTGTTGTCTGCAAAACACAAAATCACCTAACAATGCATTTCTCAGAATGTATCTTCATCATTAAGTGAGGCATGACTGTACTACATATACTATTATGTATTTACATGGCGATTTTTATATGGCTAATTCATACTATTATATATTTATGCGACTAATGCATAAATAAATATATAAATAAAAATCTCAACACGTCAGTGGTGTAAGAGTTTGATAAGGCATTTGGGATAGCATCAGAATGGCACCCTTAAGGTTTTTTATAGTTGTGTCAACTATGAATAAAGACATCTCTAGAGACAAAGGAAATAATCCTTTATAGCCTTAGCGAAGTCATATTTTCTAAACACTTGTTATATTAAAGCCATAGGTTTTAAAATATATTTTGTCATCTTTGTTTTGATACTTGCCTTGAGAAACTCCAAACATTTCTTTACATATTCAGAATCTTGAACATTCACAATCTCAATATCCTTCACAGATCTGCTCTTCTCTGATATCCAATCTGAGAATGACTTAAGTTTCTGCAGAAATTCTTTATGGGAAACTGCTAGTTTAGACTAGAAAAAAAAATTGTGCATTCAGTTGTCTTTCCCCAAAATGTCAAATTCTTACAAATAATGACTCTGGTTTATGGGTTTAACAATCTAAAAATACAATACTCCATCTTATGACTAAATCCTCAAATAATAAAATTTGCTTCATAAATCAAAATTTTGACATTTTATGCCTACCATTTCAGAGTCAATTGCAAGCATGATCTGTTTCGTTCTTTCTGAAGCCACGTTGCTGAGGGAAGAGAAGGCGGTCTTCAAACTCTGGTGGCTAATACTCAGTTCTTCAAGATGTCCTCTGGGAAAGTCACTGGGAAGAGACTTTAAAAACTCTTCGGCCAACTTCATATCTTTTCTTAAAATAACAGCAATTGGAGCTAATCCTAATTCAAATGTCTGCAAAGAAATATATCCCAGACCTATTTACTATTTAGTGTAAAACACAAATATAAACATGAAACATAGAAGTGTTCTGCTTCTTTTTCCCAGTCATACATCAGCTGACTACCATCCATAAAAAGGCAGTAGACAATTCTTACCTCCAACTGTCTAAGTTGATTCTTCAAAGCTTCCAGGTTGTTATCCAGAGATTCCTGGTTGTCTAAGGGGGGTTTCATATCTTGAAGCAATGTCAAATACTCATGCATTTTTTCAGTGTGCTGTAAACACTGCTGTAATTCACTGGAAAACTAAAAACAAGGTTGGACATTTTAATTCAACAACCTTTATGCAGATTTTTAAAGCAAATTGTATGGGATTATTCTCATATGGTTCATGCAGCTATTTCTGTACAAAATGTATAAGTCAACTTACTTGTTCGGTTGAGCTATCTCCAGAAGCCATTTCTTTTGACCCTGAAATACATTCCAAATGGCTTGGGAAATCATCACACAGATCCTTAAGCTTCTCATCTCTTGGCAATGCTGATGCACACACAGTAGAGCTTTCTAGTCCAATTTCTTTTACAGTTTCTAAATTAGGAGAATAGTGGTTTACTTCTTTGCTTTTAATATCACTAAGAATGTGTGGCTTTTCTTCCATCATCTCAGATGTAGAACATGCTTTTTGATTAAAGTCTCCAGCATGTTCTATTTTTTCTGAATATCCATCAGCAAGCAGCTTGTAGAAAATATTTTCAAGTTGCAGTGGAAGTACTTTAGATGTAATGCCTCTTTTCTCTAGGTCATACTCCATATGAGTTAATTCTCTCATCAATTCAAATAGTCCTGTAATTTTCTGGCTATGTTGATCTTGCTTCAATATATTAAGGAGAAGCTCAGACTTAAGATTTCCAAGACAGAAAGGATCATCTCTACTTTCTGCCTTTAATTCTGATGAGTTACTCATGGGGGAAACTCCAGAAGAGTCACTCATCTGAGAGTCGCTGGGCACAGTAGATGCTTCATTTACCAACTGTGATGTGGTAATCTGTTTAATTAAATTTTGAACTAAAATTTCAGTGTCTGCACAGGCTGAAGGTTCTTCAACTTCTTGAGGGTTCATATGACCTTCTTTCAACCTGCTTTTTAAGATATCCTTTACATCCTCCACAAACACCTGAGACAATTCGGGAATCTCAACCTCCTTTTCTTGGGGTCTTGGAGACAAGGCTTGTTCTTTTGGTAGCTGTTGCTCGATTCTTTCTTTCTTATTACTAATTTCTAAGAATGAATAGTCAGTATTTAAAGTGTTACTGGAGTTATCATTTCCTAATCCATTTGCACACTGGTCTGACTGCAGAAAATCATTTTTCCCAACATCTTCTACATGTTTAAGAGATAATATTGAAAGAGTGGCTTCAATACTTTCTGGTGTGAACTGAGAAATTTCTGTTCCTCCTCCTGAGATGCTTTCTTTACTACAAAGATCATTACTTTGGATCATCTCATTAACAGGTGAGTCTTTCTGGGTACTAGTGGACTTCTCTTTTGTATTATTAACTCCTAATTGTAAATGTTCTTTCATGGGAGGGGCAGTTATTAAAACATGGCTTGGGACATCTTCATTTGGTTTGGCTACATCTTTTGCTTTTATATTTTTAGCACAATGTTTTAAATAAGTAAACACATCAAGCTCTTTCTCAGGTCCATCAGTGAATGACTCCTCAAAATGTGTATTCCCTTCCCATGATGTAATATCTGAAGTGATGTCATCACTCATCTCTTTGGAAACTGATGTGTCAAAAATTTCTTCAAGATTCTCAAACTGAACAGGACTTTTACTAACTATTATTTGTAGATTATTTGGTTCATCTTTAAGAGTTACAGTTGCTTTTTTAAGGCTTCCTTTCTGATTAAGTTCTTCATTGTTTGTGATTTGTGAAAATGGAAACTGACTATTAATTAACTTGAAACTATCCCTTGTATTTTCACCAGGCAAAAGTTTGAGATGCCTATTTTCTTCTTCTACTAGACCTTCTACAAGCACTTCTCCTTCACCCAAGTACATTTTCTGAATTGATGTTTCATCTTCTATTAGAATATCACTTTTGCCATCTCTCCCTTTAATGAGATCGCTTCCATTTCCTTGAGGATCTTTGTCAGTTACAGAGGCTATCGATGACAAATGGCTTTCCTCAGCAGGTTTTCCCATCAAATCAGGCTCAGTACATATGATGTGATCAAGAGATGAGTCAATTTTTGGTGCCATATTCTTAAAATATTGATCTTTACCTTTCACAGAATCGGTCAATTCTGGCAATTCTGACCCTTGAATCAACTTAACCTTTGTGTTTGCCAGATCATTACCTAATTCAGAAGTTGAACTGATATTATTATTATGTGAAATACTGGCAGGGCCAAAAGTTTTTTCACATTCAGTGTCTTTAATGATAGGCAGCAATAAATCCTTAAGTACCATCTCATGATTCAACAGATTTTCTTTGCTTTTTCCAACAATCTCAATTGTATATTCTGGAAGGTTGCTTTCTTCAGTAGCTAAGCTATTTTCACTAGGTGATGCTAGCTGTACAACATTTACCCTTTGCTGTTTTTCTAAAGAGCTACAACTGTGCATTTTATCCAGAAGAATCATTTTATTAATATTTTTATTTTCATCACTGTTTTCATTTACAATAGAGGCACACAACTGGATATTCATATCTTCAGCCACATCTTGGCACCTGTGCTTTCCATTTTCATCTCTTATACATCCTCCTTCTTCATCAATGCCATCATTATCATCATCATCCTGATCATTACTATCATATATATAATCCCCATAACTTTCTTCACTTTGCATAGAATCTAAATGATCAGTATCAGAGTGAAATTCCTGTACAGTTACATACTCTTCCTTTCTTACTCTCCAACTGCCATTGTCATCAAATTTTAATGATGCAGTGAAGCTCTCTTTTCCTCCTACAATATCATAATCAGTCAATGAGTCAGATTCATCTCCTTCAAGGATATTTGTGCATTCCCTTTCTGATCCAGTTTCCAGCGACTGTCTATTCACCTTATCTGAGCCAACGGGATTTAAATGTATTTTTTCACCAGAATCTAATTCATCTTTCTCAACATCCATGAGGAAATCCTGACGACACTGTGCTTTGCCCTTCACACTTAAGCTACCAGCTAGTGCCCCCTGGGGAACCATGGAATTTTCGTTCTCTTTTAAGACATCATAAAAAACATCAGCAGGAGAAGCCATCTCATCGTTTTCCTCTTGCAGTGTGTCATAGTCCCCAGGGTGCAGGCAATCATGATCATCACCATCAAGAAGCAGAGAATCATGGTCATCGTCTTCAAACAAGGGAGTATCGTAAAAATCATCATCACTATCAGTGTCTGTTCCTGTGTCATTCTGCTGATCATTCAGCAGTGACGTTTCATAGTCACCAGCACTGATGGTTTCATCAAGCAATGGTGTAGCAGAGGTAAGAGATACAATGGCATTATCAGTATAACCCCCTGGAGTCACAGCACAGGAATACTCTTCTATTTCAGACTCATTTTTCTTGTCTTCAGGCATCTGCTGAAAACCAGGATGTGTTTTCTCATCCTCACCAGAAGTATCTGAAATGTATTTATCATTGTGACATTGTACTTGAGGATTACTAGAAATCATATTTAAAGATTTCTGTCCACACTGCTCTCCCGGTAAACTGATGTTAATAGCCGCAATTCCCAGAAACTGGTCTTGAAATTTTTCTCCTATTCTTTGACCTGATAACATGGTTTTGTCACTGAATGATAACGTTTGGGCTTCACACTTATTTCCATTGCTCTCTGGGGTGTGTGTATCATTAAAACTTCCCTGACGGTGCCTCAATTTATCATGACTTAACAAGGCACTTAGCCTGGGGGAATAGTCAAAGATAGGCGAATCCCTGCTTGTATTATCTTCATTCTCTGTTTCATTCACACCACAGAATTTATTCATTTTTGATTTTACAATAGGATTTTCTATCAAATCACCTGGAAAGTTTTGAATGTTTTTAGAATGACTACATTCACTTGCATGTTCATTTGTTTCCACTTGGCTTTGATTTTCATAGTTTGTAAGTATGTTTTCAGAGTCATTTCTAAGCATGCTAATGTCTGCAAGTTCAGTCTGTGTTAAATATGATATGGGACTGGGAACACACACACTGGGTGAACTGTTAACTTTAGGATCAATTGATATTGTATTTGCCAGTTTTTCTGACTGAGAAAATTCACTATTGATAACATTATTTCCCATTTCATGAAATTCTTCATCTACAGCACACTTTCTATTTTCAGGAGTCTCTTCATGCTCAGGTTCTCCACAGTGACATTTATTGAAACTACTTGGTGCAGTTGTACATTCATCCTTTTCTCTACCTGAAGCATTATTAAGAAATACACCAGAGGAGCTTAAGACATCGAGACATTCTTTTATGGCTGTATCTCCATCAAATTCTGCATGACAGCCTTCCAGTAGCATGCCAACAGCCTCATCCAAGTCTCCATCGTACAGCAAAAGCCTTTGCCCTGTGTTTGCATCCATATAGCTATTTATCATTAAATAAGATAGAAATAATTTTTTAGTTTGTTCTGAGGTCTGAGTAGTGACAGGTTCTTCTCCATCAAAAACATCGTCTTCTTGTCTGTAATCATGAACTGTGGAGGGTTGAAATTTACAAAAAGAGAGCCATCTTCTGGCGTTTTTACAAGCTTCTAAATCTCCTAAATCTGGCATTTTATCAGGCAGTATTATATTTTTTAAAATTGATGCTGTGTTATTGTCTATAATTCCTAGCTGTTTAGCAGCATCCAAACCAATGACCTGAGAACTTTCTGGAATATAAAGAGCAGCTATTTTTTGCCTGCTATTCAGGATTTTGTAGGCCAATTCATTTGTAATCAACTCTTGCTGCAAGGAAGATGATGTGGGAAATATTTCACCAGAATGGGGCCAAATGAGTCCAACATAGCCTCGTTGAGCTTCCAGTACCAGAAGAGCACTGCTGGACGTTATTAAATCACACTGTACTGCTTCGTCTACAGTTAAACGCTTGGCAGGGTTTGACTGGATGATTCCACCAGTTTGAACCTGATACGTGAGGATACTGCTAGCAGTGTCCCTGTCAATCACCCCTTCTCTGACAGCTTCTTCAACAGTCATTCTTTGGCCAGAATTAGAATTGATCAGACCTCCAGAAAGAAGCTGTGCACTTAACAACCTAAACATGGTTTCACAATCTATGAGACCTTCATGAGCTGCTCTTAAAATGCTTAAGTTTCTTCCACATTTTAATGTTATTCTACCTCCTTCTTGTGGTCTCACAGGTAGAAGCCACATCCCCGTGTTTTCCTGTAAAGTACTTCTTTGTACCATATCTATTAAAGAAACCTTCTCAGAGGTGCAGGGGTCAATAAGATCTTTGCACATATTTTGTCTTTCCAGAACTTTAGAAAATAATGCTGAGGAAACCAAGTTCTGTTGGAAAGCCTTCTGTAGGGTCAACTGTTCTCCTGTGGCTGGAATAACCAGAGAGCCTGTAGAAAGCAGTATTTCAAGAACTTTGATGGCCATGGATTCTGATATCATGCTTTGAGCCAGAGCATCCAGTACTGGAATTGTGGTAGGTGACGCAGCAGAAATAATCTCCTTAGCTTTATTTAGTTCTTTGAGTTGGCACAGAATTTGTTCATCAATAAGGCCATGACTTTTGGCATCTTTAAGTTCAAAGGACTTTCTTAATTCTGGTGAAATTAGACCAGAAATCATTAGCTGTGTCTCGAGCAACCTAATTCCTGTGTCATAGTCAATGAGGCCTCTTAAAACTGCTTGAAAGACTGAAAGGACTTCTCCAGTTGTCTGATCGATAGTGCCTGCAATCACTTTATCCAGCTGAAAGGAAAAAGCAAAAATCTCAGGTCACTCTGTTACACAAGGGTGGGTGGAGTTTCATGCAAGTTAGGTTTTTTAAAAAGTAAATAATACATTTCAACATAAAAATCCTCTACTTACCAAGGCGCAGCAATGTTGTGAATGTTAGGCAGTTCAAATGCACAAGTGATCTATGTCAGTGATCTATTCAACAGCACAGGATGTGATAAAAGCTTTGAAAACAACATGCATCTGTGAATTGAAAACTTAATATCGTGTATATTGACAAGGTTAGTGAGGACACAACAGAGTAGATGATGATAGTGAGACAACAGAACACATATCGAGAAGGCAAACCATGCTTTCTGCATTTAGGTGAGATTAGAGTCTAGTGGCATGAAAGAGATTATCAAACCCCATGCTATTGATGTTTACAGCATACAGACTTCTTCAAAGATAGTCAAAAACTAAGAAACTAGAAAAATTATTACATACCCCTAAAATGTGACAAATTATGTGGAAAGTATTCCCAGGAGTAATGAAATTAAATATAAAGATAACTTTTTCAATACTGAATATTATGTTAGGCCTGTTGATATACACTGTCAAGTTTTAAAAGTTTAAGTACCAGTCAAATTTTAAATGATTTACACTTTAAGAAGATGCTAGGGCATCCTCACTATAATGTATGGCCTTGTAGTACTCAAATAAATCTCATGGATATCTCTGAAAATCAAATAAACTCTATAATACATTAATGCCACCTTTAGAGATGACCCACAGGCTCTTTTATAGCCTATCATATTAAAATACCTACTATACCAGAAGAATGGCTTTTAAAGAGAAGAGTTAGAAGAATGAATGATCTTTTCCTTTTACCATGCAAGGCAGAGATTAAGATGTCACAGAAACTGATGATCAGCACGTATAAGATTGCATTTAATAAACAACACTGGAATCTCCAAACATTTAAATAAACTCAATCCATGTTTTAACTACGTACAAAATTCAAGGTCATTTCTTTATTATTGACATAGATTTCCAGAGCCATGCAATCAAACTAAGCTTCTTGAAACAGCCTCATGTTTAAATAAATAATATTACCTTCTCCTCTACCTTTACATCTCCTGAGGTTTGTGATTCTTGTAGCTGTTTCAGAGATTCACTGAATAATAAATTATAACTTTCTTGAAGACTTTTCACTTGTTTTTCCAATTCATTTCTTTCTTCATCTGTCATTCTAAAATAACCAGAAATGATAAAAAGACTAATGCAAGTCATCCTCAAGAAATAAAGATGATGTATTAGGTTCAAAAATTTTGTCACATTATCGTAAAATAAAATATAGTCTCACATACATATTGCTCCGGTCTCAGTATGACTATAGAAAAATTAAGAATGGCCTTAAAAATATCTAAGGATCTTTCCCTTGCCTGAGAAAAGGACTGAAGGAAAGGGTGCAAACTAATGTATTGACACTTATTTAACATACAAACTTCCAAAATAACAATTGCTGCTAACTGACAGAGGGTAAGATCTCATTGTTAATCCCAACATGTAAAAGGGGATTTCCATTTCCATCAGTACCATTTCTCAAGATGAAACTTGTTTAGACTAAAGCACAAATAAAGAGGAAATTTATAAGGGGATTAACCTGATTTGCTAAGGTGTACTATAAAGTCATTCTGAAATAATCCAAAGGAGGACATCCAAAAAGGTTTAAGAAAAAGGTGGATTCCTTCCCTGAGTGAAGCATTGATTGAAATATACAAAGTGCTTTGTTGCAAAAAGTAGGGATAAAATATGAGAAATGAAGCTGCCATAGGTCTCAGCTAAGAAAATGAAGACCATATTTATAAATATTTTCCAAAGAATAAGTCTCACAGAGTACTACTTAGATTTAAGACTTGACTTGGAGTCTGTACTCTACCTCCCACTTGCTATTAATTCTTAAGCTCTGAGCCTGTTTCCATGGGGATAATAAGAACATTTCAAAGTTGTAAGAAAGATTAAAAGTGACAATTAATCAAATTACTAAGTTGATACTCTTTACTATATTAAGTAAATTGTGATTAGTCTGAGTCCCATTTTTAACATTGCAATGAAAATTTACCACCTCTGTTTTGCTGAAAGCTTTTAAGAACACTTCCCCACTTAGAATAAAAGAGCTAATGACAACCAACATACTTATCTCCATGTTTTGCCAAAAAAAGCTGCATAGCTTGAAGTGTTTCCGATAACTGTTCCTTTTTGGTTGATATTTCCTCACTGGAGATCTGTAAGGTAAAGAAGGCACATTCAAACTCTTCCTCCAAAAGGAGTAAACAACAGTATTTAAAAAAAAGAAATTCATCAAGCTTTAGTCAAAACCTAGTCTGTTTTCTGGGTGACCCAAGTGAATAACCTATCAGTTATTAGCCATCCATAGGTCTAGATAAGAGTATTTTATTTAGAATCCATCAGGAAAGCTCCTCTCTCTATCCTTAATGCCGTCATTTTCAAGAGAAAATAATAATACATTATACATTTCCTGCATCTGTCCTAGTCCAGCTGTGGATAAAGGTGGCCTCCACTTGCAGGTGGGCACTCAGCACTGGCCCAGTGTCATCCTTGTGCACTGCGGTACTCAAAAAGACACATGACTGTGGGACACTACTTCCAAAGGGCATCTTCCTTCTGCCAAGCTCCTAGATACAATGCTCCTTTTGAAAAAATTATGGCGGAAGTAATAATCTGTAGGTATACAGACCCAGAATAAAGAATTTCTAGCTGAGAGTGGTGGCTCATGCCTGTAATCCCAGCACTCTGGGAGGCCAAGGCAGGCAGATTGTTTTGAGCTCAGGCGTTTGAGACTAGCCTGGGCAACATGGTGAAATCTTGTCTTTACGAAAAACACAAAAAGTATCCAAGTATTTTTGGCTCATGCCTGTAGTCCAAGCTACTCAGGAGGCTGAGGCAGAATTGCTTGAGCGGGGGAAGGGGAGGTTACAGTTAGCTGAGGTCGTGCCACTACACTCCCACATGAGCGACAGAGTAAGATCCTATCTAAAAAAAAAATTTTAACTATTAAAAAAATTAATTTCTAAAGCTAAGACCCACTTTGTAAAAGTCATCTGTGACTGTCATCTGTCAGAGAAATAAAATTGATCTGTTTGGGGAAAAGCCAGAGGTCATAATACTTTCTCCTAATCCCTCAGTATATCATTTCCAAATCCCTTATTTCAGAAATTGCCATTCTTTTAAATGAGCAGAAATAAGAGGAAATAATGGGCCAATGAAAAGATGGGCCAATGAAGTTTATTCAGAGTCAATTTAAAGTTTATTTTTCATGACTATAGATAATCATGAGGCTGCATTGACTTTTGAAGGACACACTTATATTAACTAAAATTTCCTTTAACAGAACAACCATCAACTGTTCTTAGTTATAATTAATGCCATCATCTGCATTAAGAAGTATCTAGGGTACTAGGTCTAAATCTGACTTAGTAATGTTTTGGAGAATTTAAAACTAAAGAATGTCTACAAAAAAATTTTTTTAATTTGCCAGGTGTGGTGGCATGTGTCTGCAGTTCCAGCTACTTGGGAGGCTGAGGCACGAGGATCACTTGAGCTTGGAAGGTTGCGGCTCCAGTGAGCTGTGATCATGCCACTGCACTCCAGCCTGGGTGACAGAGCAAGACCCTGTCTCAAATATATAAATATGTATATATATATTTTTAAAAACTACAGAATATAAAAATACCAAGGGTTTATAATCCATATTTCTTAAAAGAAACTTATTATCCCAACGAATCTTTGTTAAGCTTTATGTCCCCATTTTAGTTGTCTATTTAATGAGGGGAAAAAAAGGGAAAAGGATATTTTACATGAAATATATGTATTAAAATTACTTGAAGCTTTTTGGTGTAAAGCACCAAATGCAAGTGTTTTCCTACATCTCCCACATATCTTCCACATCTCACATATATAGTATGTAAGATGATGAGTGAATACTTTATTTCAATTGAGCAACGTTTCAAGTATATACTCTGGTCTGTAAACTTCTCCAAGGAAGAACCTCAAATAAGGAACACTTGCCTCATATCACAGCCAAAATAAGACAAGTCACTGATGCTTTCCCCTATTTAGTCGTATCAACAATGTCTATTTTAATAGATGACAAATACTGATGCAGAGCTAGATAAAGTGGGAGCTAAATATTAAGATTGGATGATAGCCCTTGAAATTTCTAAATGTCAGACAAGAGCATGAGGGCAGTGTAGGAAAGTATTCCTTGAGAAAAATCCTTCTTATCTTAGCGGAAATTTATTTTTTTAATACAGTAACAATCCCACTGCTATCGCCAGCAGCAGCAGCATTAAAATTTACACCCCAACTACCAACATCCTAAGAGCTTCAAGTGGTACAGTCCAATAGATACCAGGGACATCTCCCAAGCTGTGGCCATCCAACATAACACTAAGCAGTTGGGATACAGAAGATAGCCCATTAAGACTAAAGAATTCACTAGGATAAAAGATGGTATCTAGAATTTCCAGTGATTGACTGTAGACACTTCCTTATGAGATGGAAAAGACCCAGAAAAGCACAACTAAAATCAATAATCAAGAATGTTAATATCCTGGTGTGTATTTTCATTGTTCTTGAAACTTTTTATGTTTACATCTGTAAGAATAAGATGACATATCTTTATGACATGGAGTGCCTGGATCTACTCTAGACATACAACAGAATGACTATGCTCTTCAGCTATTCTCATTGTAATAATCAGGAAGCAGACCTAACTATTAGGAAAAACAGTATACTGAATTCATTTACTAAAAAATAAGAACAATATGTATCATTCAGGCTTTGGAATTAAACGGCTTCTTCTGCCACACACTAACTTTGATTCTTTGGGCAAGTTATTTAATCGTTCTGATTTGCATTATAGTGGCCTATAACAATGGGAAAATTAAGGTAAAAATTAAACATTGTGCTAGGTAAACTGTGTCAACTCAGTTAACATCTCTGATATTATTATTGTTAAACCCAGACTTCTGTGAATACCTTTTGCATAGAGAAGGGAGGTTTCCCAGCCTTCTCTGCATCTTTCAATGTCTTGCTGATATTTGATACCCATTTCTGCAATTCTTTGGCTTTTTCAACATGCTCTTTCTTTTCCTCTTCCAGTGACTTCTGACAGTTGTGAGCGGTAAGAAAAATATACACTCCATTAAATGACTTAGCTATTAAACTGACCTCTCCATAGCAAACAAGAATGTAAAAATATTTTTTTTCATCACACACAGGTTACTAAAACATTTTATTCATTCACTTAACCATATTTGCCATGTCACATAGCAGATGCACCTCCAAAATGTTTATGGTAGCAAAGAAAGCTATGGCATACATTCCTTAATGATTGGTCTAACCTCTCAGCTGTTCCATCAATGTCACAAATTTTAAATCTCAACTTTATTCATGAAGCACTAGAAGATCTTTGAATTGCTGCCTTTGCATTAGCATTACAATCATAATTGTACTGACAAAAAGGTATCATAGAAGGCTGATAGAATACAGAATGTCTACTATACACATAAGGAAGACACACAGAATGAAGAAAAATCCTTCCCCTCCTCCAACACACAATATTCATAACGTTAGCTTTCAAGTGCAAAGATTTAACTAGAAATGAGATGTTGTGGTAAATATTTTAATATGCAAAGAAGGTCACTATATACAGAAAAAGGCAAAACTTTTTCATTTTTCGAAGCAATCTAAAACACTGCAGCTTGAAGGCTGTGGGAACGAATTTTGTATCTTTCTCTTTGATTCCACGGTGCTTCATGACATGTTCTTTCAGTGAGTGCAGTGTATCATTTAATAAATGATCACTATTCAATGAAGGGGAGTTCTGAAGAAATGATGCTGTGAACTTGGAGTTCATCAAGTTTATCCCATATTCTATGTAAAAAAAAAATCATTTTAGTGTGGCCAAGTTTCAAAAAACCATTCTCAAGGCTAAATGAAACCATTTGAAGGGCATTAAATCTTATGTAATTTTCAATTTAAAACTTACTCTACTTTGAGCACTCAGCAATTTGCAGCCCTCAAGAAAGAGTATGTTACATAATTCACAGACTGCATACGTAGCCGATATGATCATACTCTGAAAAAGTGGCATGAACCAGCCAGCATCACCCCTTGCACAGTTATTTAAACATGTCCTATTACGAAGAGTAGTAGAGGCTAGAAATTCCTGTCATCAAGGGCTCAGATACTTCTAACAGTTTAAGTCCCGTGTGGAAATCAAAATCAGCTTTTTCTAAGGCTTCTTTATATGTCAACTTTCTTTTTGTCTGAGGACATATTATATTTCTGATATATGACTTTTGATCTTTGAGTTTTGTGGCAATGAGGACATCTATAATACCTACTTGGAGAGCCTCTTCTATTGATAATCGAGAGTGACCCTGTGGCTCTATCAACCCTCCTGTCAAGTATTGAAATTCCAAACATCGGATTCCCATTTCCTTATTTATAATATTTGCATTCACAGCTTCCACCACTGACATCATTTTGTTAGTGATGGGATGGCCAATCCCTGTGATTACTAATTCACACTGTCGCAACTGCTGGGCAAACCCCTCATCAACCAGGCCTCTATGCAAAGCTTCAGCTACTCGGTACTTTTTGCCAGTAAGAGGATCAATTATGCCCCCTGTACTGACTTGGGCTTCAAGGCATCTGAGGGCAGTAATCCGATCAACCAAATTTCTACGGGAGGCTTTTAGTACAGAGATCCTTTCCCCACTAGCAGTCAACCAATACCCTGCAATAGGACTGTTCAAATCTTTCTTGGGAACTAACCGGCTCAGTAAAGTATCAGCAAGTTCTGTAAGTGTGATGAGACCTTCCTGATACTTTTTGACCAAGGCTTTGTCAATTGTTCCCTGCTCTATAGCCTCATTAATATTGAAATTTAATCCTGTTTTAGTATCAGTCAGCATATGAGAAGAATGCCCATAGGATTCAAAAAATGTAGCTTCCTTCCACTGATATTGCTGCCCTGAAAGTTCAAGATATATACTTTTCTCAATCAGGTTTCTCTGGAAAGCCTCATACGCAGTCAATTCTGACCCTGTTTTAGTATCTACTACAGAAATTCTATGAGTTTTTTGGACATTGAGATTGGAAATGTTCCTCTCCCCAAATGGAAACAGAAAGCATTGGGACTCTACATCAAATACACACATTTGCAGTAATTCTGAGTAATACAGCGCTTGCTTGTTATTGGGATTAAGGAAAACTCTTGTGTTGCTGGATGGCTCATGTAAAAACTGTAAGATGGCATTATTCAACAACCCCTGCTGTAGAGCAATTTCTGGAGGAACACGAATGCCTCTCACGGGGTCAATGACACCCCCACTGGCAATCTGGGCTTCCAAGATATGTTTACCTTTTTGTCTGTCAAGCATTCTATTTTCCATAGCTTGAAACACTGACAATGTCTTAGAAGAATATGAATATCCCACAGCTGCCTTCTCTGCCTCAAGAAGCCTAATTCTGAATTCGGGGTCAACAACTCCTTTAAGAACTGCATCTTCAACAGAATATATCTGACCTGAAATGGGATCAATTATAAAACCTGTTGCAGCCTGAGCTTCTAAAAATGCCAAAGCCATCATTTTGTCTATTATGATTCTCTTGGCCGCTGAGGCAAATGAAATCTTTTCTTTTGTAGATTCTAGGTAAAGCCCTGCAATTGAGGTGGCTTTCGTCAGAAACTTATTAAGAGTTTTCTGAACTTCTTCAACAGTCTTAAGACCGAGTCGCAGCTGCTCAATTGTTCTCATGTCCAGAAGCTTAGCTTCCACCAACTGCCTGGCAGTCACAGTGTGCCTAAGCCCTTGGAACTTAAATTCATCATCCCTAACTGAACATGCATGATCACCATCAAAGTTCTGGAAGATCTCTGGTTCTAAGCCCTTCTTAAGGAAATCCCCTTTCTTGAGTCCACCAGATGCTCTGCACCCTTCAAGCATCCATTCTTCAGCACTGGGAACTGGGTTTTTTTCTTGTTTTAATGTTGTGACTTCTGTATGCATATCATACTGCTTGTTCTTAGCTATCTGTAACAGGAATTTATAAAATGTTAAAAGTCAACTCAAGAACATTATGTCACTTTACTCATTCTCAATCCAAACATAATTCTTTGAATTACAAAGATGAGATTAGTGAAAAGAAGAAAACTTTCAAACCAAGGAGGGTTCAGGAATAAGTATTATATTATTTTCAGAGTCTGAATTTTATCTTAGATGACAATTAAAGGTATTAAAATTATATCTTTAAAGACTAAGACAAAAATCTAGCCACAGAATATGTTAGAAGTTAAAGCTAACTGCTTGGTACTTCTAGCTTTTTTGATAGTCACATATTTCAAAATGTATCTCCACAGATATAACAGTATATCTATTATATCTGTATGTTTAATCTCAAACATTCAAAAATTAAAGTGTTAATTTATAATAAAGATTCAAGTAAGTTACCAGAAAAAGTATAGCATTATTTTTCTGTCAGAACTACAAAGAGCCAATCATATTCAAAATTGTTTTAAAAATTTAGTCTAGGAGAGAAAGGAAACAAATGAAGAAACTTGACATTAGGTAGCTGATAAGGTCTCAGAACACAGAGCATACCTCTAAGGGTGTCAAAAGCTTCACCAGTTCCATTTCACATGCGTTATCTTGATACCTAACAGGTGGTCTAGAATTGTTCAGGGCTTGGTCTCTTATCTTCTCAATTTCAGATAGTCTTGTAATAGGGTTTGTCTCATCAAAAGTTATCTGTAATTCAGTGCTTGTCTGAGAAAAGTACTCAGAGTAACACTGCTGGCTTTTCTCTTTCTCAAGTGGAGCCCCTGGTGGCTGGAATTGGACTTCTTTTGGTATTTGTTCAACAACCCGATGTTGCCACTTTTCTTCCAATGGCTGTGGTTCTTGGGTCCATCTCAACAGAGGGGATCTGGGTGTTGGATGAAGGTGTCCAGTGTTTCTAGAGGACAGCTCTCCAGAGTATTGGCACTCCTTCACTGTCATCTCAAAATCTGGTTTGAAGGTACAGTCTTTGGCTGTGTTCTTTTTTTTAATTTCACACTGGAGCAAAACTAATTGATGTTCATGCTCTTTGATCTGCTGGTCCATTTTTTGCTTCAGGTTTTCAACCTCACACTTCTGGGCTATCAGCTCATCCTCAAGTTTCCGACATTTTTGGTAATGATTTGCTTCCACGTGCTGCCCTTGCTGCATTTGTTCACGATACTGTTGAAGCTGTCTTTCAAGTTCTTTAATGTTTGTTTCACAAAGCTTAGCGTTTTCTTGGGCTCTACAGTTTTCTTGTTGAAGAGACACAAAGTCAAGCTTAATGCCTGAAATATCATTTTCAGTGATGACTTTGGACTCCATTAATTTTTCCATCTTCTTCCGAAACTCCTCTGCTGACTGTTTGAATTTATCAGATTCTTCCTGAAACAGAACCATCTTTCTGTGGGTCATCTGCTCCTCTATGGTCTTTAAGTGTAATTCATCTTGTACTTTTTTCAACCTGTTATTTAACTCTTGCACCTGTGCTTGCTGTAGCTGAACTTTCTGCTCCCCACGTCGCTTCTCTTCCTTGGAAGCATTCAGCTCCGCATTCAGATTTCTAACTTCTTTCTCGGTATTCTGGATGATAATGTTCTGTTGGTCACACTTTTGCTTAAATTCACTTACTAAATTTTGACTTTTCGCCAGGTCTTCTTCTAGGCATTTAATTTTTCTTTGAAAATCCTGCTCTGTTTTTGTCTGTTTATGCAAGTGTTCATTTGTGCTGCGTAGCTGATCTTTAAAACCATCTGCCTGAATTTTCAGTGCTTCACATCTTTGCTGGATAGTTTGTTTCTCTAAAACTATATTCTCTGATTCTGCCTGAATTCTCCGCATCATTAATTTGGTTTCATTATTCTGCCTAGTAAGCTCCTCTACTTTTTGTTTTAGCATTTCTGCACACTCATTACTTTTCTCCAATTCTTCATTGAGCCTTTGGATTTTACCATTATTTTCTTTTTCAGCTTTGATATTTTTAAGCAACTGCTCATGGCTTTTCTCAAATTGTTCTTTTAGATGATCTGATTTTCTCTGGCAGATTCGTAGTCTTTCTAATTCTTTCTCATCTCGAAAAGAATGAATTTGTGAATTTAAATGCTGAATACCCTTCTCAGCTACGGCATGTGCCCTTGTGATTCTGTCTACTTCTCTTTGTAGCTTCCCTTTTTCATGATGAAGAGATTCTAATTCTAACTGATAATTGTGCTTTATTTTCTTGAGATCATTAGCTTCTTGCATGGCTTCTTCAGCCTTACCTGTGGTTTGGTTCAATTGCCTACCAAGCTCTCTGAGTTGTTGAGAATACCCTTTCTCTGCCTGATCCTTCCTTTCCAACTCCAACTTAAGGCATCTGAGTGTATTATTTGTTTCGTCTAGTTTATCTTTTAGCAAACGAGCCTTTTCCTCAGATGACGTTTTTTCAAGCTGGAGGGCATTAAGTTCATATGTCAGTTCTCTCATATCTTGTTCAGCCTTTCTATTGGCAGCTGTTAGTTCATCTACCTGCTGTTTGAGTTCTTCTGCTTTCTGTTTGTCATGTTCTTGCTGGAGACCTGTTACTGCCCTGCATGATGTAGCCTGTGTGATCGCACATACTGGCAATGCATTTTCTCTACATGTATACTGAATTTCAGTTATTTTTCTTCTTGCTTCCAATTCAATTCTCTGCTTTTCTTTCAACTGTTTCTCTGCTACCTGTTTCTGAAATGCAAAGTCTTTTTCCAGCTGCTTTATCAGCTTCAAGAGTTCTTCCTCATTGTCTCTCTTTCTTCTTAATTCTTCCGTTAATTTATTTTTTTGTTGCTCCAAATCATTGAGACTTAAATCTTTTCTTTTAAGATGGTCTTCCAGTGTTCTTCTGGTGAAGGTGTTTTCCTCCAACTGATTCCGAAAATTCAGGAGGTTCTCTTCCACGGCAGCTCTTTTGGCCTCGGCCTCTATGGTGAGCTGCCTCACCCGCTCCAGTTCTCTTTCAGCGGCTTCCTTCTCTCTCACAATGGTTTCAAGTTCCCTGCGGTACTGCTTGGCTTCACTTTCAGCCCTTATCTTCTGCAGAGAGATATCTTCTACATTTCTCTGCTGCTTTCTCAGTTCATTTTCTGCAGCCTCCCTGACCTTCGGAAGTTCTTCCTCTACTCGGGACTTTTGTTTCTTTAGTTCAGCTACCATTCTTTCCAGCTCACTTATCTTTCCTGTAAGTTTGCTATTCTCAAGCACTGTTGCCTTCTGACGCTGAAGCAGATCTGAATATGCCCCATGTTCAGAAGTCTCCTTACACCTTTTAATCTACAAGAGACATTTTGAAAGTGTCAAGCCTGTTCTGTTCAAAATAGCTTACAACGTATGAATCAATGTTCATAAAAGTACTTACAAAACCAAGTGAACTCAAATGCAGAACAAGTGCTATCACCACCACCACCAGCAGCATCACCTTCTTCAGAGAGGAAGCTTCAGAAAGTCAGCAGTAGAGGACAAAAAATCCTTCACGACAGGTTTTCTGAAGAATATCTTTTTGTCCCTCAGGAATAATTTTATTTTAAAAATTAGCTAGCTTAGAATTTTATAGCAAGAAGGGAACTTACAACAGATGAGGAAAGGGAGAAATGAGGAAGATAGATATTCTGCAAACTCACATTGGGTGAGTGACAAAGTGGGAAATAAAACTCTCACAATGGTGCCCTTTCTTCTCTTGCATGCAACATAATCCTAAGAGGTAGGAAGAATACCCAACACATAGGAACCAAATGATGCTAAAGAATTTAGTTTTCTAGCCTGATAGAAATTTAAAAATGATACTTATATTCCCATGTCTTATGGTTAAAAAAGCAAAGCACAGAATTTTAGAACACGGAGCCAAATTAGGAAATAACATGGGGAAGAAGGAAAATTATATAATAACTTGAAATTTGTAAAGTCAGATCCCTTATTTGTTTATACTTGCCATATTATGACAATTATAATCATCAGAATTGCTAATGCAAAGGCAGCTACAGTCCTGACGGCTTTGGAAAAGATGTGCTTCATATACTCAGAGATTTTGTTGCTGTTGTTAATAACATGCCTCATATGAATCACTTTGACAAGTACCTTTAAATACTCCATAAATATAAAGATATTTGTTAAGTATAATAGCTTTTAAATATATACTTAGGGATTCAGCTCCAATGTATAGAAAAAATTATAAGAAAAATTTTTTACTCTTCTAGGGACAGAATCAATGTCAGCTGGGAGGAGTATGCTTTACACTGATTACAGAACTACATGATCAGGATTAGTTTACAATTACAATTTAATTTCTCTTTATTAATACTCTAGTGTTGTTAGTTTTGTATCATCAACTCAAGATCACCATAAAATAATTTAAACAGGAATAGAGAAATTATTTCAGACAGATTTGTTTTCATTGAGAAGCTTTGGTGAATTTCAATAATTTAATTTCTATTACAGACCACACATCTTATTTTGCTTCCTCTAATTTCTTGATCTCCAATAATTCTGATGAGAATTTCAGTCGTTTTCTCTGCTAATCTAAATAAGGTTTCTAATAATTCATACAGAAACAAATCTCATAACCTGTTATCTCCAATACTCTATTTTCTTTATTTTAGTATCAGGGTCAATCCTGTGACACGTGAGCATTTTATCTATTTAAATACTAAGTTTTCAATATTTCTTGAGGAGGTTATTTCTAAGACAGTCTCAGTTCTTTATCAAACCTCCTTTAAAACTTAGCTATTGCTAAGAAATTCTGAGCCATTTCTTTTTCTTGGTCATGCTCAGATTTCAAAAAACTAAAAATTCCCTCAGAAAGAAAATATCTGTTGTTGAACCCTCAATGTCTTCATTAGTCAATGCAGGGATTTGTTAAGAATCTATTCTGGGCGTGGTGGCTCACGCCTGTAATCCCAGCACTTTGGGAGCCCAAGGTGGGTGGATTATGAGGTCAGGAGTTCAAGACAAGCCTGGCCAACATGGTGAAACCCCATCTCTACTAAAAATACAAAAATTAGCCCGGTGTGGTGGCAGGCGCCTGTAATCCCAGCTACTCAGAAGGCTGAGGCAGTGAATTACTTGAACCCAGGAGGCGCAGGTTGCCGTGAGCTGAGATCGCGCCACTGCACTCCAGCCTGGGCAACAGAGGTCTCGGGGAAAAAAAAAAAGAATCATGTTGTCTGGATAACTCTTTGAGTTTTTTAGCATATGTGAGAAAAATTACTAGAAATAATTTAGTCCAATTGCTGACTTGCTTTCTTGTGGATCTCAAACTTAATTGTATAAAAATAACTTCCTTAACTTTTATCTAAATCTTCCTCAATCTTGCCCTTTAATCACAGTGATTAATACTTTGAATATTTTGTTCTCAGCAGACTAAAGAATCTCTCTCTCATATCTAATATCTATTACAGATATTTTTAGTAACATTTCTTTTAACTAAATCAGTATTACTTCTGAAATTAACTTGCATCCATCTTTGATTTTATGTTTATTATAGAAAATTCTGCTTTAAACCAAGGTTTTTCATGTGGGTCTTCAAACCTCAGTTGCAGAAACACCAATCTTTTGAGTCTAAAAATTGAGCTATGTATCTTTTACACGACATTCCATTAATGTAATCTTAAGTGGTAGTTTTTTTTAATCTATTTTAAATTATAGCCTTCGCTTGTTCTTCTATAACCATATTTGCTGGTTTCAATTAATTATAAATCTTTGACATTTTTAAGGACGACAATAATAACTTGCATTCAATTACGGCCTTCTAAAATATTCTTTGTTTCTATCAATTGCTAGTATTCTGCTTCATCAGATAAATCAAGTAAGTGGCCCATATATGTATAATCAGATACATACTATAAGAAAAGAACTTATTTTATTTTATATTTAACTACTGCATATACAATTTAAAAGATCTGCATACCATTTAAAATGGAATAAGATCTCTCAAAAACTAAAAATATAAGAAAATTATGGATGTTCTTTCATAGATGAAAGATGCATGCAATTAAGATGGTCACAAATATCCTGGTTCTCTTAAGCACAAAGGAAGAGTGTTATAAAGTCTTGCAATTAGCTATGTTAGTGATTTAGCTGCAGAAAACTGTTAACTCTGAACAGACTAAAATAGTTTATAACAGTGGTCACATTTTTAGGAAACTGAGAAAGTAACATCCAATAGATGCTTACTGCTGTTTCGGCTCTCATATGAACGGAGTTACATTAAGCATAATCACCTTTAGAATTTCAATAAAGTCCAATTTAAAATGGCTAATGTCCCACAATTTATTTATTTCAACATTCATTCTACTATTTTTGTCTGTTCTGGGGAATAGAAAGTATATCAAGATAATAAAGCATAGCATACTCCCTTTTACATTAGATACAAGAGCCTTTGGTGACCATTGATTTTTATAAATAACTCCTTACTCTTCCTATTTCTGAATATAATTTTTAAATGCAGAATCAAGGCTGCAGAAGTTCTCCAAATCAGAATGGCATTTAAATAGCCTTTTTAAATGCTATGTGCTATATCTTTTTGCAAAAAAAAAAAAAACCCAAAACTCCAAAATTCTTAAAAGTATCATCATTTTGTAAAAACATCTACTACTTTTAAGTTAGCATCTTTACATTATGTACAATAATTTTAACTTGAGATACAAATTAATTTAAAATGCTTAAGACAAAAGTGTTCATGTAGTATTCCTGTAGACATCATACCAGCAGTAACTATACTTCAAAGAAGTATACTTCTCAGCTGTGAGAAAGCTGAAAAATATTCTGCCAAACTGCCAAAATTTCATAATTTATTTAAGACATTAACCCCACCATATTAGAGTCTCGAAGTGAAAATGTAAAGTCATGAAATGAAATGACTTTCTATTTGAGTGAATCTTAAAGACAAACTAAAATCCTAGGCCTTCAGTCATTTTCACTGTAATTTTATAATTCAATATTTATTTGTACATCTGCTTCTAGCCACATAAATTTATCATGAAACACGTTTTGCTTTCCCAAACTATATCGTAGTTACTGCTCATCTCTAGCTCCTTTATATTTACAAGCTGCTCACTATTAATGATTACCTCCTCCTCTTCCAGCCTCTTCAATGAATCACCAGCAAATTTAATATATTGTGTCATGAGAGTGACCAGGGCAGTATACCGAGTCCTTAAGTCCATGAACTGCAAGTAAGGAAAAAAATAATAAAAGCATTACCTCCATAACTCTTAATAAGTTGAATGAATTTTGAATAATAATTACATTAACTAGGCTTTTAGACAGCAAAACACACAACTCCCCCATAATAAATGGTAAGAATGAGCTTATTACTATTGTGCAAATCATAGTAAATGATAATTCTCTTCTAAATTTCACCATGAAGTACATTTATTTATCTCTATAGTTAATAATTAATCTTGAATAAAAATTCATCAAGGGTTTTTAAAAACCCTTAATAGAATGTATTGTTCTGGGTACAGACTTTCTGTTTGGGATGATGAAAAGGTTCTGGAAATAAACAGTAGTACCAGCTGCACAATATTGTGATATACTGCAATGCCATTAAACTGTACATTTAAAATTGTTAAAATGGCAAGTTTTATACTATGTATGCTTTACCACAATAAAAAATAAAATTCAAAAAGAAAGTGTTCTTTCTTTTATGCCCTTTCCCCTCTTTCTGTCATATTTTTATTACCTCTTGAATAATGAGATCTGCTGAACTCTGCATTCTTCGGCGTTTCACTGGAGATTTTTGTTGTGAATCTACCATGGCCCGGTAGGTCATTGTTTGTAATTCATAGTCCTGTATAAAGGAGTCAATAAAATAAAATGAATTGAAGCAAAGTACTAGAGTTTCATTCTGCATTAAGTTAACACAGATAATTAGAACCTAGATTCACTAAATTAACTTTAATGATTTGACACAAATCATTAGAACCTAGATTCATTAAATTAAGTTTAAATACAGAAAATATAGTCGTGTTTCACATGACAATATTTCAGTCAAGGACAGACTATATACATGATGGTAGCCCCATAAAATTATAATGGAGCTGAAAAATACCTATTGCCTAGTGATGTCACAGCACAATGCATTACTCATGTTTGTGGCAATGCTGGTGTAAACAAACTTACTGTGCTGCCAGTCGTACAAAAGTATAGCACATACAATTATGTTCAGTATGTAATACTTGGTAATAAATGACTATGTTACTGGTCTATATATTTACCACACTGTACTTTTCGTTGTTATTTTAGAGTGTACTTCTACTTATTTAAAAAAAAAAAAAAAGTTAACTGTAAAACAGTTTCAGACAGGTCCTTCAGAAAGTATTCCAGAAGAAGGCATTGTTATCATAGGAGCAGATGGCTCCATACATGTGATTGCCCCTGAAGACCTTCCCGTGGGATTTGGAGGTGTAAGACAGTGATACTGATGATCCTTACTTTATATAGGCCTAAGCTAATGTGTATGTTTGTGCCTTAGGCTTTAACAAAGAAGTTTAAAAAGTAAAAAAAAACAAAAAACAAAAAACAAAAAAAACAAAAATTAAAAACAGAAAAAAGCTTACAGAATAAAGATAAAAAGAAAGAAAATACTTCTGTATGGCTGTATAATGTGTTCATTGTTTTAAGCTAAGAGTTAAAGGAGTCAAAAGGTTAAAAAAAAACCACAAGTTTAAAATGTAAAAAAGTTATATTAAGTTAATGTTAATTTATTATTGAAGAAATTTTTTTATAAACTAGTATAGTCTAAGTGTATAGTGTTTATAAATTCTATAGAGGTGTACGGTAATGTCCTAGGCCTTTACCTTCACTCACAACTCACTCACTAACTCACCCAAAGCAACTTCTAGTCCCGCAAGCTCCATTCATGGTAGGTGCTCTGTACAGATATACCATTTTTTATATTGTATTCCCTATTTTTATTATACCTTTTCTATGTTTAGATACACAAATAGATACCATTATATTACAGTTGCCTACACTATTCAGTACAGCAACATGCTGTACAGGTTTATAGTCTAGGAGCAAGAGGCTGTACCATATAGCCTGTGTGTAGAAAGCTATAACATCTAGGTTTATGTGAGTACACTCTACGATGTTCACACAATGAAAAAATCACCTAACAACGCATTTCTCAGAACATATCCCCTTTGTTAAGCAACACATGACTGTACTGCAAAATTACATTTTTAGTAATCTATCCAATCCTGGAGATGCTTCCAAGATAGGGACAAAATCAGAAACATGTAGGGTGGTCAGGTAATTTCCCAAGTCTGTTTGGAAGCTCATGGAAATACAGGTAACAATAGTGTAGCCCTATGCAGCCCCCCTTTCCCGGCTAAGCAATGGAACTATGGATCTGGAAGGCTAAAACTGAAAAGTTATCAATGATAACTTGAAAAGCATGAAAAATGTCCCCCTAAGTGAGAAAGTTAGAAGTTCTCCCATGAAATACCCTAACAATGTTAAAGAAGAAAGAAAGAGAGAAAAGTGATAAGAAACCAACTACAGAGCTAATTATTGTGGTGGCTGGGAGTGGCAGGGGTGTACACATGTGAGAGAGAAGAATGAATGAAATTGGGGGCTATCATGATACTAATTTTCACAAAGAATTATTAGATAAGTGTCAAAAATTCAAATGAAGATTCTTTTTAGTTTTTAACACTGAGTGAAATGACTTGCATGGCTTTGAAAGTACATGTAGAATCACATACCTGAATATTAAATTTTACTTAAGTGAATGAATCTTCCTACCTTCACTGTAGCTGAGTACTGTTCTGCATATTTTTGACACTCGTCCATTTTGCTCTGTTTCATTTCTATTTCAGACACCAACATCTATAAATATACACAGTTTAGAAGATAAATGACAAGGAATTCAGCTATTCTACTACATAAGATGCTCAGTAACTAAGACATATCTATACCACTTCACGGTATAGCTCCTTAGCCCTTTGTACTTAATATGCAACTTGCCTTATGGGTAAATTACAAACTTCCAGATTAAGCCACAGAAGTGACCCACCCCATGTGGCTTTCAAAGCAGAAATTACTAAACTCCTTAGGAATTATCCAAAAGCAGACTCGATGCCCTTGGCCACCACCTATTCCTGAAAAAAAAAGAGCTATCTGTGACTGGCCCCTAAAGATAGAATAAAAATCGCAAAGCATTCAAACTTTCTGTCAAATGTGGTATTTAATTTTCCATAGATAACCATTTTTACTTATTTAGGAACCCAGAAAACTACTGTGGCCAGCAAAGTGTCAAAGAGATTTCTATACCTATGATTAAATAAATTATCATCAGGAATTTGAAAACTATCCCAACACTCTCCACTTTTGGATTACTCATGCTTTCAAAAACTACTTCCAAGAAATAAAAATAAGTCATGTATGAAGGTTTGCGTTGCAAGATTTTAATATTTTTGATATACTCTCCACCTTCCTCTAAAGAGTTGGTGACTTTTTCATTGAACATAAGAAAGGAAGATGAGGAGCATGACTGACCAAATGCAAACATAACTTCAGTAGAGGGAGTTATTTTTACATACCTTCTGTTGATTCAACTGTGTGGCTAGGGTTTTACTATTTTCAGGCTGATTTTCCTGAATCTTTCTCTGAGTAGTTTCAACCTGCTGGATCCAATCATCTAAAGGGTGGTAAGTATCTCTGTAGTACTTCAGTGATTTGCCAATGCCCTCTAAGTCCCGTAACCTAAGAGAATAGTAACGAAATAGTCACAGTGTCCAACAATATCCATCAGGAGGGTGGAAGATTTAGAGATGGGAGAGACAAAATAACTGGACTGTAATGCACTAAGCACAAGAGGGGTATGTATAAAGAACTCAAGGCTGCAGCACCCTGAGACACACCTCCAACGGCATTCCTTGTTGGCTTTGGGTTGAATATAAACATTCTGCTCCTTGAGTTGTGCAATTTAGTGACAGTGATTATTCTAAGAACACGCCCAAGAGGCTAAAGCTAAAAAGCAAGAAAAGTGGAAACTTAACCATAATTATTATCAATTACAGTATCTTGAATAGTAAGGCTTGCATCAAATGGCAGTTCAGTTTTGAAATAACGATAAGGTAGTCCAATGAATGGTTCAACATGGTCTCAGAGAGTATTTTCCAGAAGCTGTGATTACATACTTGTCTCTATGATTTTAAAAACTACCACATTAAACCTATGCATCATATTTGTTACAGAGGTAACACATATTTGAACATAATTTTATTTTTTGAGAATGGCACTGTATCATAAAAGCATTTTATTTGAATTAATATAAGCATGAAAATGAATGAGAAAGGACACAAATTCATTTATTTTAAGATGAACCCTAAAATCTTTTTTAATTCAGTAACTGAGGAAATGATTTTGACTTTCTTGTATCTTCAATTAAAATGAACATCAGGGCATTTCCATTTATTTACATTTCTTAAGTCCAGTATAGAAGCTACACACAGCCCTATCACGTGTATGCTTCATGCTCTTACTAAGTCATGGTTATTTGAATATTGTAAGTTGGTAATAATTAGAGAACTACATTGTTTTTTCCTTCAGAAAAGGCAAGCAGATTAACTGCATAAATGCTAGAATATACGAATAGAAACAGAGTTGAAAAAAATGCTTATTTTGAAGTTAAATGTCTTACTAAAGTCGTCCAAGAAAGAAAGAAATATGGCTAAGTGGAGGTATTGTAATTAACAAATTAACTATGGAAGTAAAAAACATAGCCTCATGTTTAGATTTTACTCATTTACCATAGATAGACATTAAATCTGTGCTAAAACTGAACAAAAATGGATACTAACCTGTTGTCAATCTGCACATGAACATTTTGCCACCTTTCAACTAATTGATCTGCTTTTTCTTTGTGCCAGTCAAAATCAAGGTCCCGTTCTTTATACGTTTTAAACATTTCATCACTGATGGCTTTAGCTTTCTGCAACTCATCCTCTAATGCATGGAATACCTGTCTCTTTTCATCTACTTCAGATCTCCATTGCTAAAATACATTAATTGGTAAAAGTTATAAAAATATACAAAATATACATTTTCATATACATATACTTTCATATATACATATACATATGTATATACTTTCATATACAAAATGTTACATTAGTTCAAACTTTACGAAATTTTCAATATTTGACTGTACTCTGATTTTTTAATGACAATTTTAAAGTTCAGCCTAATAAAATTTGTATATCAACAAAATAAAATATATTCTATAGGCAAGTTTGCTACCTCCAATAATAAAGTAAGTCTTTTTCATTGTCTGCTTTTAAGTGCCTACTAATCCCATTGTTAAAAAGGAATACATGCATTAAAAATCACTGACATAACTTTCAAAAATTGATTTGCAATAGTTTCAACACTTGCTAAAGAAATACATATAGATGAGTTGAACTACAAGTCTTTTTCCTTTCTCAGATTAACTTTTCTATTTACCTCCTTGATAGCTTAAATTAACTTCTTTTTTAGCAAGTTATCTATAACAAATAATTTAAATAATTTAATTTTTAGCTTCAACTCCTCTTCCTACCAACATGAATTGACTATCAAAAGCTACTGTCAAAAGGGTTCGAACTTCAAATGAGAACTCTCCTCAAGCTAAAATGATTGAACATACTTATTTAGAGTAAGCTGTGAGATCAGAGAGACACAAATGGAATAAATCCATTCAAAAATCCAAGATATTTAATGCTTGATGTTTGAAGATCTAAGTGCTAGAGAAATACCTGTAGAATATGATATTTTAAAATAGCCAAAAGTGAGTCTCATACCTTTAAAGTACTTATTAGATTCTCAATATTATTCTTGTCAGCTATAACTGCTTCTTCTTCACACAGTTTAGTTTCATAGAGTTTTACAAGGGCTTCTGCAGCTTGAGTGTTTTTTAACACCAAGTTAACAGTTTTTAACCTTAAAAAGGAAATTAAACAATAGCCACCTATTGTTAAATGTTTACTTTTGCATAATGTAGTCCTGAAGCACCATTATGACACATGACATAACATGTTCTTCACCTTGGAACACTGATACATTTACCATGAAACTAACATTTTTCTGGCTTTCTTCTTAATAGAGAGTATGTGCTCCAACCCATGCCCTGACCCACAAGTGGTATTCAGCAAGAGATTGCAACATAAGATAGTTTCTTTCTAACTTTATTTAAGTATGAGACGAAAATTCATTGGCTACAACTGCTGAGCTACCCAAATTACACGCAAAATGTGGGAGGACCATACATTACACGTTAATCTCTGAAGCACATCCACTATCAACATAGAGAAGTGTCATCACTCCATAAAAATAACGTATTTCCAGGCTGGAGTGCAGTGGCGTGATCTTGGCTCACTGCAACCTCCACCTCCCAGATTCAAGCAATTCTCCTGCCACAGCTTCCTAAGCACCTGGGACTACAGATGCCTACCACCATGCCTGGCTAACTTTTGTATTTTTAATAGGGATGAGGTTTCACCATGTTGGCCAGGCTGGTCCCAAACTCCTGACCTCAGGTGATCCACCCGCCTTGGCTTCCCAAAGTGCTGGGATTACAGGCATGAGCCACTGCGCCCAGCCAATAATGTATTTCTTAAGACAAAATAAAATGTAATATTTATATTAATAAAAATAAAATTTTAAATTAATAGTAAATAAAAATGAGAGTTGTATGAAGCAATTTATTGAGATAGCAGTTACATACTTATCTATATAAGTGGAAGACATAGAATAGACTTGGTTCATGTTCTGAAGGACCACATTAAGCTCCGATCGTAGGGTAGGGACTGATGAAGAGGCCGCTGCTTGACTGAAAAACTCCTCACACTTATTTGTGATAGTTCCCAAATCATCCTTAAGTCGTTCCAGCTCTTTCTTTAGTTTCTATAGAACAGAGAACAAACAAAGGTATCAGGCCATCACCTATGATTAGGTGTTTTTCTTAAACTAGTTTAAAAACACACATTTCACATTAAGACCAATGACTTAGAAATATACATATTCTTTGCTTTTTATCAAAGAAACCACGCCACGGCATTCAAGTTTTACAATCAATAATTCCCTTACTGCTCATCTCCTTAGGCTCAACATCTAACTTAGTACTTTTGCACACAGCAGGTGTATAATGACTTTTATTACAAGTCCTTATGTCCTTCATCACAATGAAGGTGAGTGTGTACATATTCTCATGTTTACCTGAGTCAGAGGTAGACTGAATCCTAGTTTATAATCAGCAATAATTACATAATCAGACCTCACCTCACACTAGACTGGCTAGTGTGAGTGTACAAAACTGAACATTAAGAAGTCACAAGAGATGACACATAAGGTCATTAAGAGAGTTAGTTTTTTTCCCAACATATTTATAGCTCTCACCTCTTGTTCTGTGATTCTGAACACACTTTCATGCAAATCATCTCTTTCCAGGGGAGTTCGAATCTGTCTAATCAGCCGATCTTCACAGTTCTCTAACCTAAGTCTAATGTTTCGAACTTCAGAGATGTAGAGATTATAAACTGACTCCTCTTGCTCCTCTGTGAAAATAAATATAATGTTTAGAAAATACCTTGTTTTCTATCTCTTAGAAGCTTCTGTTTATGTTTTAATATGACAACTTTGTTATTACTGGGACATAGCTAGTCAAGCGAATGTTTTCATCACAAACCCATTCTAAAGGTATAAATCTTAAAACATAAATCTTAAAATTTAAGAAGAATTAATAAAATTTCCCAAATGCCATTTGAAGCACCAATTTCTGATTAAATGCTGTCCAAAGTAATATGTTGCTATTTTACGTTCACAAAAATGTGAATTATATTAGCTACAGATTAATTACAAAAATCAAATAAAAATCCTTAAAAGTAAAAAGTAGGTGAACAACATTCAATGTTTAAGATTTTTTAAAAATAGAATATTACTAATAAAATTGTCTCTAAAATAAAAAAAGTTCAAAATAAAATCTTTATCTAACAAAAGTTAACTAGGCAAAAACCTTTCGCTTTAATCCTTGTATAAAATCCAAGTTTGGTAAGTGGGAAAATAATTGAATCTTTTCTGAAACTGAAGGATTGCAAAATAGTGAAAATGATGAAAAGTAAGAATTCGTTGTTTGTCCAACCAGTTGGTTGGCACCTTTTATTAATTCATCATTTGGAAACAAATAAATCCCTTCTTGAGTCTTCCTACCTCAAACATGCTTTTACTGTTCCAGAAATTGTGTCTACATATGATAGTCTGAGTGATACTATATACCTAAGATTGAGATTCCCATTGAGAGCAAAAATTAGCCAGAACTAAACACCTACGGGGAAGAAAAGACGGGGATCCCCATGCTTTACCTCTTTCTGCAGACTTAAGAAGTTCTTGATAATACTGCTTACATACATTAACCTCCTTTTCCAGTTGTGTTATATCTGAGCCTGAAAAGATTTGGGACTCCTGGCTATCTTCCAGAAAATCTTCAAAACGAGATTGTAGATTACTTAGAACTTGCTGATGTTCACCAGGTAGCATTGTCTTTATCTAAAGAAGACCAAAGACTCATGTAATTCATTCTATTACTCACAGATTTGAATGGGATACACTTCAAATTGGTTGTATGGTATATGCCAATCTAAACGAATAATCATAAATAGAAACATTTGAAATTAACTGTCTTTTTCATTAACAATTTTAATTTTTTTTTTTCTTTTGAGACGGAGTTTCGCTCTTGTTGCCCAGGCTGCAATGGCGCAATCTCGGCTCACTACAACCTCCCCTTCCCAGGTTCAAACAATTCTCTTGCCTCAGCCTCCAGAGTAGCTAAGATTACAGGTATGCGCCACCACACCTAGCTAATTTTGTATTTTTAGTAGAGACAGGGTTTCTCCACATTGGTCAGGCTGGTCTCGAACTCCAGACCTCTCAGGTGATCCACCCAACTCGGCCTCCCAAAGTCCTGGGATTACAGGCATGAGCCACCGCACCTAGCCAACAGTTTTAACGACAAAGAAAAACAAGTCTACAAAACTCAATAAATGAAATCAACTGTACCCATCATTGTATATCCAACAACTACATTCTGTCTCCCTATCTCACAGTAAGCACTGAATGAAATTCATGATTTCCGGATTTCCTCAATTCTTAAAAAGTGCTTTATATGCTGTGGGCATATAACAAATATTCACTGAATAAATGAATATTAGCATGGATTTGCCGGACTCCATCCTATTCTACAGCAAACACAAACACCACCACACATATGAAAAGGCACGCACATTTTTGGACATATTGGGTTAACATATAGATTCACACTTACTGAAGCCACATTGCTGGCTCGAATTCTATCAATTTCATTGATGAGATAATGCCAGGATACTACACTCTTCATGTTTATGTGAGACTCATGCCAAAGAGTCAGGACATTCTGATACTGTTGCTCAATTCTGAAATACATGAAAAAGAACTTAGATTAATCTTTTTACTCCCTCTGAAAACACACTGCAATTTTTCTTTGTGTGTGAAATATTCCATGTTTATTAGTTCTAGAGACTTCTAATCCTGTGGGGCATTGACAAAGTATTAATTGTTTCTTCAACCTTCAGAGAGCCCCCAAAACTAGATCATTGTTTTCAGCTAATATATACAAACCTGTTGGCAAAGTCCACCGCTTCTTTGTTTGGCGGAGGAACGGTGAAGCACACAGATGGGACCATAGCCTCGTTCCCAGTAGGACTAATGACCTTCCATTTAGCACGATGAGAGTTATTCGCCAAAACACATTCATCATCTTTGTAAATGGTTATCTGGTTTTAAATAAAGAGCAGAGTAACTCAATGAGGTCACTGTTAACTGTTTTCCATACTCAATCCTGGGATTTTTTTTGTTTTATGAGGGGGGAAATCATCACTAGTTAGCAATATGATCTCATTTACAAAATATATGAATAATGACAGAAACTGGTCTGTTTCTAGGAGTTGCAAGTACCTCAATTTGTCTGTAGTCACAGATAGCTTTGATTGGAATAGAAGTTTTGAGTGGACAGTCAGAATTCCTTGGCTTCAGTTGAATTATTGTTTTTGCTTTTCCCATTAGGCTTGCTATAGTGCTTTTGTACTGCAGAAGTTCTTCTTTCTCTTCCTAGGTAATAAATACAGTGAATTTTAAGAAGTAAAAGACTTGTACTCTCCATGCCTTCAGCACTTCACACAAATTAAACTTCATCAGAAAAGTCTTCTCTGACTACCTAGTCTAAATTTTCAATCATTCCCCCTCCACCCTGTCTTGTATCCCTCTTCCTTTCTTTGGTTTCTTTGGTTTTCTTTTTCTTCTTTGACATTTACGCTACCTAACATACTATATAAATTTTACTTATTTATCCTATTTATTGTCTAACTCCCTCTCTAGCATGTAAGCACAATGGTAGAGATTCTTGTCTGCTTTGTTCACTGCTGTAGCTCTAGAACCTAAAACAGTGCCCAGGATATATTAAGAACTTAAAAAGTATTTGCAGAATGAATGACTAAACACACACGTGCACACACACACACACACCCCCCCACTATAAAACCATCTTAAAATATCAAAGCTATCACATAAAAAAACACTTTTGTTGTATTTGTTGCCAAAAGAATACTAAAACTGAATGTGCAAATGTGTAATTGAATTAGTGGGAAATATCAAGAGTGCCAATAAAATACAAAGTTCTGCTCATATAAAACACTAATCTAATCACTTATGCATACTTATAAAATGCATAGGTTTTGTATTAGTACCATTGATTCCTGAACAAGGTCTTCTAGCTTGTGAATGCTGCTTGATCTATCACAGCTGTACTTCCGCTGAATGGCATCTTTTAGATTCCTTAGGTAATCAGTAGCTTCTTTGGCATCATTGAAAAACTAAGGAAAGAAGAAACCTGGCAGTTAAAGTATGTTAAATACCAGCAAAGCACACAGCTGTCACCCTCCAAAACCAAGGTCCTATGTGTACCCCTCATAAGTGAGAACAGAATAAAAGCACAAGATAGCTTAATAGTCACATCCTTCCTTGGACCAAAGAATAACCCTTGAAGTTGAATAGTGTCCAAAGCTTATGTGTATATGATGTTTTGACTCTCTATTATTTTGACTGAAGGTCTGTTTTAAATTAGGATTTAAACAATTTTTAAGTAGGAGTGAAATTCCAAGAATACTTAAAAACTTCTACGATTTTAGAAGTTCAGCAGTTATAGATGGTTGATTCTCTATATGAAAACAGTTCCTAAATAAGAGACACATTTGTAGAGTAGAATAAAGATTTTAGGATATCTTAAGAGATTTTTAAAGGATTCCTGCATTAACAGAATACTTCAATCTATCTCATAGGACATAAAACCAACTCTTCCAGCCTACAAAGGAAACAGTTCACATTATATATATATATATGGAAGTTATGATTTTATTGAAGTTATGATTCTACTCACATACCTCGAAATATGCAGTGTTCTCCTTTACGTGCTGCTCCACACACTGGCAGAGCTGTAAGATCCAGCTCCACTGCGTCTGCATTGCTGCTCTGTAGGCCTTAAAGATAAAACAGAGCCATCATAACTAACTGGAGAGAAACAAGGCACACACACCTTTTGATACTGATGCTTCTAAATGCTAACTCCACTATCTAAATAGATGACCAATTGTTTTGGCAGAATAAGGCTTGAAAATCAAGGCAGTGACTGGGCATGGTGGCTCATGCCTGTAGTCCCAACACTTTGGGAGGCCGAGGCAGGCGGATCACCTGAGGTCCGGAGTTCAAGACCAGCCTGGCCAACATGGTGAAATCCTGTCTCTACTAAAAATACAAAAATTAGCCAGGTGTGGTGGCACATGCCTGTAATCCCAGCTACTCGGGAGGCAAGGCAGGAGAATTGCCTGAACCCACGAGGTGGAGGTTACAGTAAGCCAAGATTGCGCCACTACACTCCAGCCTGGGGAACAAGAGTGAAACTCCATCTCAAAAAGAAAAAAAGAAAAAAAGAAAATCAGGGCAGTACAATTTTCCTCCTATCTTATACAAAGTCAGTCCTAAAGTTAAAATACAAATTTTTAAACCACGCAAGTTGATTTATTTTCAATTTTAAGCTTCTTGAAATTTCTTCTTAAAATATAAGAAAAAAATTAACTCTTGCTACAGGAAAAAAAATATTTAAAAACTAAAATAAATGCAAGCTATCCCTCTTATTTACAAAACCAACGCTTGACTCCTTTGCCACCAGCTCTTATATCTGCTTTGTGGAATCCTCCAGTATGTTTTCTTTTGTGGCACATTCACCTCTCCTTTCTCTGAATTTTTATGGTGCTAGATCATAAAACATACCTTCTAACACAGAAATACATGGTTATGTAGTTTTCTCTTTGTTTTTGCTGGGGTAAGGTTTGGGGAGGGTGGAAAAGGAAATGTGTGTACTCCCAAATCAGTGTAATTCTGAAATTATAATGATGAAAATACTAGGAATTTTTATTTTTATTTTAAAAATGTGTTTCTTGAACTTTAATTCAATACAGAGTGTATGTTTCATGTAAACAATATTGTAGAAAGGATACCTACTTCCTTAAGGAAACATGAAATATTCTTTTCTATTTAAGGTGCAATTCACTGATTTCCAGAAGAGGGCACTCGAAATGTTTTAATGACTTTTAAGTAAGCCTGTCATTTTTTCCTCCTTTTGGAAAAGCTCATTCCTGCTGAGCTATAGTTAGGCAGCGTTTCCAAATGGAATGTATGATGCAGCATTGAAAATCTGGCAACATATCATGATCATATTCTACCTCAAATTAAGCTACTTTCAGTAAATTGGCTAGAAAACATGTATCATATATTCTTTTTTCATATAAAACATGAAACAGTATTGATAATTAACTAAATATTATCCATGTACCCAAACAAGACACTGGCTAGGCCAATGGGATCATAAAGATGATCAAGGTTTCATTTTACTTAAAAAATTTTTCATTAATTAAATTATAATTTCTACATAAAAGTGATCAGAGTGACATTCACATGTTCCATTCCCATCAAAATTCTTGGCCCATAATCGTATTTCCTAACAGTTTTCATCTCTCTACCCTAAGAAATACTCTCTCTTTTTAGTTTATTAGTGTACAAAACCACATACCAGGCCCTCCATTATTCTACTTTCCTTTCCCAAAAGGTTCCCTACTCTTCTACGTTTTTAACATTCATATGTGACATTTCATGTAGACACAAACTGTATTTTATATAAAAGATCATACATACATCCCTAAAACTTCCTGATGAGCCTAGAATTATACTAATATTTTGAGTTATTATGATTTCAGCGAACCTATCAGATTCCTTTCCTCAACTGTGAGTTTGAAGCATGACAACTTTCAGGACAAGCATCATTTTTTTTTCCTCTGGCAAAATATCACATCTGACTGCCTATGAATGACAATTCCTAAGCCCATGTGTGACAATCCCTACTTTCTTACATAACCCCCCATCCTCCATTCAGAAAGTCACTAACTCTGTCTAATATACAATTTAAAACATTGTTCCAATTGCACAGGCAACCTGATAAATCCCATCTCAATTTTCCACTTCTGAATTTGAAATGTTCACTGCACATTATAAAGCCTTGTCACGATGCTGTCCCAATACACCTCACAAAACCAGAGCATAAATGAAAGTAGTAAACTGAATCATAACAGCTGGTATTTTTTTGAGAACACATAATGTACCAAAAACTATACTAAGCAATAAGAGTAAGTTATTTCCTTCTTATTCTCATCACAACTCTATGGATTAGAGGTAATTTCTCCCATTTTTGGTAGGAAAATGAGGCTCGGCAAGACTATGTCACTTGTGCAATGTTACACAATCAGAAATAAATAATATGGCAATGCTTATATAGAGAAGGTATACATATAAAGGTATTTATATTTACAGTAATACATCTTCTCAGCCACAGAGACTGACAAGGGTACTTTTATTCTAAGTGATGGGTGACATACTTAGAGCCAGAGAACAGAAGGCAGTCAGTACAATTTGTCAGAAACATTATTTTTGAGCCAGGTTTTAATAAAAGTTAGATGGTTTATAATTTTCAACTGCTCAGCAATAAAAGAATCTGAAGGGAAATAATCATATCAATATTCAACCAACACCATTACACTGTCCAGCTTACCTCAATAGTTAACCGGGCTGGATGGTTTTCTAGAAGTAGCTGCTCTGCTATCTCTTGAACTGATTTAATATTTTCTTCCTTTTGATCAAGTTCTCTCATTAACTCCTTCAAGAAAGAATTAAGAAGTGTGTTAGAAAAATATATAAACCTAAAATGCAACCCTAGTATGCAAGTACAAAGGGTGTACTTACAGCATGATAATCTTTTTTCCTAGCTACATTGGTGTTTCTCTCACTCCAGTCATAAGCAACTTCCTCCTCTTCTTTTTCATTCAACCAAATAAGTTCATTAGTCGCACGACTTACAAAATTATGGAGTGTATCAAGGTGCCGTTCCTGATTCCTGGATGTATTCTTTAGTAAGGAAAATCATCATAAGAATCATGTTTTTGCCAAATATAGATAAGGGAAACAGAAGTTTTTTTAAAAAAAACTTACCAAGAGTTTTGCATACTGACTCTCTAATCTGTGCAACTTTTCTGCATAAGTCAGTTTAAGAGGTGCTGTCATTTGAATCTATAACATGAGATTAAAAAGACACTCCACTTAGGAATCTGAAGGAATTCTGACTCACACTTAATGTATCTATTATTGATTTACAGGGTCTTTATGTAAAAAGCAAAACAAGAGTAAACTAAAACAAAATATATACAAATTTTAAATTCACATACCTCACTGATTTTAGCTTCTTTGAGGCTAGATTCAAATTCTTCAATAGCTCTATGAACATTTTTATGATTTTCTAAATGGCTTTCAACACTTGGCAAATCTGAGCCCCATTCAGTGCGGTCCAGTTGTACCTTCAAACAGTAAAATACTAAGTTTAGAAAAGAAATTGCTAACAATAAAGACGGAAACACTCAGGTAAAGTAAACTCTGTTTTACCTGCATCTCTTCAACCCAGTTCAAAAGATCCTGAACAAATTTCATGTTGATTTCCTCTTCTGTTAAATTTTGATCTAGCAAAGAAGACTTTAGAAGGGGTTTTCGGATCTGCATCAACTTCAGAGTTTGCAATGAATTTGGCTCTACTCCTGAACTGAAATTTGGAACTGATCCTGATGGGAAACCAGGTGTATAAGCTGGAGTGACAGATGGAGTCAGGCGGGAAGTCATCCCTGATGACAGGCCAGAAGTCATACTAGAAGAGGTTAGGGAAGGTGTTAAACTCTGGGTCAGCCCTGAGGTGAGACTAGGGTGTAAGGTCTGCGCAAATCCTGAGTTTAAACTTTGAGTGATTCCTGATATCATGAGCTTTGTCTGTTCTGTTGTCAGCATGCGTCCTTTGCTGTACACAGAAGAACATTCGTTTCTTAAGGCCATAATTTCATCACGCAGTTTTGCAACCCTGAAAAGAAAATCCAAAGGGATAAGGTGAAATACAAAAGGCACTTGTCAAAGAGTGAACTCTAATGTAAATTATAGGCTTTAGTTAATAATGATGTATCAATATTGGCTTATCAGTTTTAGCAAATGTGCCACACTAATGCAAGACGTAAATAACAGGGGAAGAGGGAGGTATAAGGGAGCATATGGGAACTCTGTATTCTTCACTCAATTTTTCAGTATGCCAAAACTGCTCAAAAATATAAACAAGAAAAACGAGGAGATAATTGTAGTTATATTGGTAAAATTTTGCATCATGATTTTTTTCAATGAGCACTGTACTATGAGGACTTTCAATCTTATTTGTCTTTATAACTATCATTTATAATGAATACAATTACTATAGCATATGATCATTTTTACATTTATGTATGTATTTTTCATATTTACAATTACTATAGATTCCTAAAGGTGAAATTACCGGGTCAAAGGATCATTTAAAATTTTTGCATTTATACATTCATACTCACACACACAGAAAGAGAGAGAGAAAGAGAGAGAGAAACTATAGCCTGAAATATTCCATACCTACCCCCGAACACACACTTCTCAGTGATAAAGGTTTTCATACACATATTTTCTTTCAAGATTTTATTATGAACATTTTCATAATAGGATAAACCGAAAACTAAAAAGCTGAATTAAAAATGACACTTTTTGGCCAGGCACGGAGGCGCATGCCTATAATCCCAGCATTTTGGGAGGCCAAGGCAGGTGGATCACTTAAGGTCAGGAGTACAAGACCAGCCTGGCGAACACAGTGAAACCCCGTCTCCACTAAAAATACAAAACATTAGCCAGGCATGGTGGTGGGTGCCTGTAATCCCAGCTACTAGGGAGACTGAGACACGAGAATCACCTGAAGCCAGGAGGCAGAGGTTGCAGTGAGCCGAGATCGTACCACTGCACTCCAGCCTGGGTGACAGAGCAAAACTGCATCTCAAAAAAATAAAAATAAAAAAAAATAAAGACACTGTCTTATATTTTTTCTCTTTCAAACATCCCATGAATACTTTAAATATATGTAAATGTATGTATGTAACATACATACATCTAGTGTATTCATTTTAATGAGTTAGCTCCTGCAGCAGTATTATATGTACCATAAAATATTTTTTCTATTGCTAATCTTTAAAAAACAAATATCTACTTAAACACCAAAATATACAAAAATCTGACACACATTTTCAACTAAAAAAGAGCAAGGAAATATATTTCATAAAATTTTCATATTCTACATTCCTATTTCCAATGCCCATGAAACAGTTATACAAAAAAAGGACAGAGAAAGAATAAGTAGCACTCTTACCTCTGTACCAATTGATCTGCCTGGTAGTATTTTCCATCAATAAGAATCTGTACATCAATTACATGCTGTCGTAAAAGGTTCTCACATTCAAGTATATACCCGGCAATTTCTGCTTCATTCTGAAATTGCACTCCTGATTCTAATCTTTTAGAATCCTGTATTTTAGAAGAACGCAGTATTAATTCTGTGAAACAAGTTTAAAACCGACCTCAAATATAAAACATCAAATATTGGAACAGAAGCCTACTTGGGCTTTCTTTAGTTTTCCTTGTTGGTTCAAAAACATGTTTTCCCTCTTCTTGTCTCTCAGAGAGCAAACACCAATCACAATCTTTAATAAACTTTAAGTTTCAGTGGAGAATAGTACCAAGAATCAACCAAACATTATGCAAAAGTTTTAGTTCATCCAAACACACAGTGAATCCTCTACACCACAACTTCAATGGCTCTTAAAATTAACTTACAGACTGAAGAGCATTTCGAGCAAGTATTAGTTTGTCTTCACAGATGACACTGTCCCTCTGAACTCGGTGGGCAATCTGTTGCAACATTTCTAACCTAAAAGATGAGACAAAATAAAATAAAGCTTTTCCCTTTGAAGTCAAAGAGCTCGCCATTCCTGAAAAGTGCTGCCCATCAAAAAGTAAACACAATCCCACACCAATGATTCAATACCTGCGTCCATCAAAGGATTCATTGCCGAAGCTAATGCAAGAGTTGATCAGTGTTGGACCATAATGAACCGAGAGAAGATTTTCATTCGAATCAAGACTGGTTCGAGTGCTGGTAGTGTTACTAAACACAGAATCACTGCTACGGTAACTATAACTACTACTGTGCATTTTTATTCCTGAAACTATGTTCTTTCTTTGATCATTCAAAGTAGACTGAAAGGTAGGAGGTCTGGAAAAAGCTCTACTTCTAACGGTGAAAAGTGGCAGCTGAATATTACAGCTTTTAATGGCTCCTTAAATATGCTTCAACATGCATATGCAACACACAGCAAATAATATGCTGATAACTATTCAAAAGAATCTAGCCTAAAGCCATTCGCTTGCTAGCTGAGGTTTGCCTTTTGTAGCTTGTATTAAAACCCTACAAGTATGAACAAAGCAGGCAGGTTGGGCGTCACTGCAAAGGATATGCCAAATATTTGCACTAAGAGTCATCCAATTGCAACCACCTAAAAAACAACTCAGATGCCTCACAGATGTCCAGGATAACTAGTAAAGATTATTCTGGCAATACCAATCATTAGCTAAAAGAACACAAATATCCAGTCATAGTCTGACTTCTGAAAAGACCAGGTCTGTGCTGAATAATGTAAGGAAAGCAAACAGCTAGAAATTATGAAGTACCTATAAACAAATGAATTTGATAAGAAGAAAGCACACTTCCATTTTAACCACCATGTCATTTGTTTATTAGGTTAAATTAATGGAAAAATATCAATTTACTTTTCTTTATATGACATGCTCCCAGTAATGTTACTTCTAAACCTTCTATAAAGTGCCAAGTAGAATACTGAAGCAATGCTTACAAATTTGTCTGTGCTTGTTTTTCCATTCTATAGGGTATTACATGGCATAAGAACGCTGACTCTTTTACATTTGTTTTTCATACACTTCCATGCCACATAGCTATTATTCGCAATACATAGACAATGCCAAAAAACTTGGATGAAGAAACATGAAGGCATTTATCCAACCAGGCTCCTAAATATTTTCCTACCTCCAATAACACTGTTACTTCTCCACTCTAAGAATAGATATTTTTCTTTTCAGGGATCAAGAAAGGGGAAACTTGAGAGTGACACATCAATCGCTTCTCAGCCTATTGGCTAAGATCAAGTGTGAGAGTACCACATCAAATACAGTGAGTGAACAGAACAGCTCAAAACAATAACAGTGGCACCTAGCATTTATTAATTATTATGTGCAATAAATTAATCATTTTAGATACATAACTCATCTCATAACCACCCAATGTAGTAGGCACTATTACATCCTGTTTACAAATGAGGAAACCGAGGCTTAAACAGTTAAAGAATTTGTCTAAGATCATACAACTTTGTAGGCTGAGCTAATAATCTAATTTAAAATTGAGTGGCTTCTAGGCCCTGAACTCTCAACCACTCTCTGCTTTCTTTTATGAACATATCTTAAAATTCAGCTACTGTTCTGATGCCTAAAAATCTACTCTGTATCCTCTAGAATACTTCTCCATTATTTCAAATGATTAATGTAGTATCTCATTTTAATCACCCAGAATTACCTCTTCTGTAAAAGCTGCATCCTGTATATTTTTGGCTTGTTTTGGTTTTAATAATCCAGTTACGTACACATATTACACTTTAACATAAATGTAATCAGTAATTTAATAAAGGACTGACATGTTAGACTTGCTCTCATATATTTATTTTATGCATTATTTCACAATGTTGAATCTTGAAGTCAACGTATAAGGCACAGAGAACATGACAATACTGAGCACCTCTAATGTGTGTCAGGCGCTGTGTAAAGCATTGGCAATGCAAGGGACAGAAAAAAACAAGGGTTTCTCTCCACATTTTTTGGAGGTCATATCTGTGGAACAGGCAAGCCTTAAGCAATAACAGAAATAAATATAAAAATACAACCAAGATAAGCACTATGAAGGAGCAATACATGTAAACATGAGAATTTTAAGCAAGATATCTGAACTAGCCTAGGAAACTATGGAAAGTTTCTTGAGAAAGTAATATTGGAGCTGAGATCTGAGAATGTTTAGGTGTAAAGCAGCCAGTGTAGCTGCTGTGCAGAGAGCAAAGGGGCTGGAAAGGTGTGTCTGACCACACAGGCCTTACCCTGTAATATGGTTTGCCTGTGTCCCCACCCAAATCTCACCTTGAATTGTAATAATCCTCATATGTCAAGGGTGGGGTCAGGTGGAGATAATTGAATCATGGGGGCGATTTCCCCCATACTGTTCTCATAGTAGTGAATAAGTCTTATGAGATCTGATGATTTTATAAATGGGAGTTCCCCTGCACAAGCTCTTGCCTGCTGACATGTAAGATGTGACTTTGCTCCTCATTCGCCTTCCACCATGATTGTGAGGCCTCTCCAGCCATATGGAACTGTGAGTCAATTAAACCTCTTTACTTTATAAATTACCCAGTCTTGGACATGTCTTTATTAGCACCATGAGAATGGACTAATACACCCTACAAGGTCTAGGTCCTATAGACATCATGGCTAATGAGGAACACAGATCACAATACCCAGGTATCAGGTTAAGACTGTAACGGAGACAAATTCATCCAACAAACATTTCCTGAAGATTAAATGGTACCTTCCGAGGCAACTGGGTATAGTGAGAGACAAAATGACAAAGAGCTAGTGATGATTTCATGGAGTAAACGCACTTGTAGAAGTGTGGTAGAAAGGGAACCTGAACTAACATTTATTGAGTGTGTTCTAGACGCCATCCATCACCCTTTAAATGAAGGCAAGCTAGATTTTGGTTTCCACTGCCCCTTGGAAAGAGAACTATAGCAAAAAATGTAATAAGAAATAAAATCAGTTCATTGTTGACCTATAAGCTTTTAGATCCAGGCCCTGGTGACTTAAGGTCAATATGAGAAATCACAAGTAATTTTGACTGGTTTTAAAACTGTAAAGCCTTATTAGATGAGACTTCACATACCAATCCAGCCTAGCAGGTCATTTATATACATATTACTTCACTGATTGACTCCTTAAAATCTCTTAGAAAAGTTTCTAGATAAGAAAATGGAGGATCAGAAAGATTAAGTGACTTATCCAAGGCCACGTAAACAGAGGTTTAACTTAAGTTCTTTCACAAGAACACAGAGGCCCCTCTGCACTTGATATTCATGGCAGAAAACACCTCTGGCCTACCTTTCTACTTCTGGACGAAGTGCCTTCTCTCTCTCAAGCATGGCAATAATGAGTTTCCCCCACTCTTTTTCTATGTCATTTGGATGATAACCTTGAAGGAGCTTGATGCGTCCAAATTCTATCCAAATCTTGAGAAAACAAAAAACTTTAATGTGAAGCAAAAATAAAAACAAAACAAATCAAAGATTATGCTTGACAATATAAAGCAAATCTGAGCTTACCTCTAATAATTTATATAGGCGTTTAATTTTTGATTTTTCTGTCTCCTTTGGTGGAATTTCTGTTTCTTTAAACTGTAAATACTGATTATAAAGTGCCTAAAATAAAAAGGACAATTAAGGACCAAACTTAAAAGATCTGTTTTCATTATCTCACTAAGTCACCATTTCAAGTGTTATGTACTGTATCATATGCAGTCAATGGAATTCCTTTGTTAAACTGACACTCAAAGACAATACCAATTTCTAGCCAGTTGGTGATGTGGGTTATCTAAAATTGGATGAGGGTGTAATTATTGATGTGAGCCATGCTTTAGTACCACACGGGGATCTGGATAATAATAAACCACGCAGTGTTTACTAGTGCTCTACTAAAAACCTCTCGTCCTCCAAACAAGAAAACATACCCTTTAAAAGATGCACTTCCCAAATGCTGTACTTTAGCTTTCAGTCTTTGGAAACATAATTTGAAGTAATTCCCATAAAGAAAGGAACAAAACCACTCTCTTCTATTGCATGGTTCTATCCTTCAAAAAAAAACTTCTTAGCAGAAAGGGCTAAAATTTGGTTTCAATGTCCCAATGGCCAATGTAAACATATTTTTTTAAACAAATGAAGATAGATGCTATTAGTTGATGGGGCTATTATTACAGAAGTTTCAACCGTATAATTAAATTATTATCTAGTTTGTATATATTAATTTGGGAACCTCTTAAATATAGTGTATTTATTAAAAGGGACCTTCATAAAAATTATGTAGATAATGCATCTCCATATTTAATAGAATAAGTGTGTACTAATTACTTCATTCTAATTCATGTAGCTATAAAACAAGACCCTGTAAATCTTTAGGCTGACACATTTCTGAAAGATTCTATTCAAAGTTCTGCTAATGCAATTATCTGGCATTTCCCCATGATGTATTTTCTTTTCTAATCTATGTCTTGTTCTAGTCATCAGCAAGTACTCTGATCACTTCTTCTATAACTAAGGATCTACACTAATCAGAAGCCAGTACAATTCATCCAAGGGTCTGAACAATAGAAATCCATTTGGAAATAAATGTATTGGAACATGAAATCTGAAAATTGTTTTGAAATCAGAATGCAATGTTTCAGGATGTCTGTTGGTCATTAAGCACCGAATGCTCCTATGTGCTAAACACTGTTCATGGCACCACATGGTAGTTGTAGGGAAAAGTTTTCCTGCCCTGGAAAATTACATGTCCATGTAGGGAAACATCACACAAACAGCTTGAGAACACTTAAAAAGTATCATATCATCAGATGCCAAGTAAATTCGTGCCAAGGACAAACTCTCTGTGGCAATGGGAATGAAAGCTGTTCCACAGATGTTCTGTACGGAAGCAGGAGCACAATGAGTAACTCTAATGGAGCTCATCCTGGGTTATTACAGTTTTCTCTATCCCAGTTTGATCATGAAAATAAAGTTTACAAACCAAGGAAGTAAGGCTTTGTAGGCAATATTCGCATTATCAGCTTCTAGAAATAAAGTAGACCACCTTGCTATTATAAAACCACATATGCAAAAGAGACAACTTACCCTTTAATACGTTTACATATTTATAATGACTTTTTTTTTTTTTTCAGATGGAGTCTTGCTCTCTCACCCAGGATGGAGTGCAGTGATGCGATCTCGGCTTACTACAACCTCCACCTCCCAGGTTCGAGCAATTTTCCTGCTTCAGCCTCCTGAGTAGCTGGGATTACAAGTGTGTGCCACCATGCCAGGCTAATTTTTACATTTTTAATAAAGATGGTGTTTTACCATGTTAGCCAGGCTAGTCTCAAACTCTTGATCTCAGGTGATCCACCCACCTCGACCTCCCAAAGTGCTGGGATTACAGGCATGACCCACTGCACCCGGCTTATAATGGCTTTTATATCTGCAATGTCTGCCTCAAAAGCATGCCCTAAGTTTTTCACTATTAGAAAATGTTTTACTGAAACATAAATTCACTTATACGGGAAGTCAGACATGTATTTTCAAATTCATGGTGAAATACAGTGTGTACCTCTTCCTGCACAAAAAATGCCCTCTGAAGCAGTTTTTAATAGGACTCAACCACAGGCACACCCCCAATCCAGTGCCACATTTGTGTGTACTTCCCAGGGGCCCTCCTACCTCAGCCATCCCCGGGAACTTCAAGCATTTCCTATATACTAAAATCAATTCGACAATGCAGTTTCAGAGACTCTCTCAAATTAAACCTTTAACCTCTCAACCGAAGCTGAGAGACTACAGCTAATCTGTTTTAAATGTTAATGTTTTACCTCCATTTTCTCTGTATAATAAGAGAGATGAGTAAACAAAAATTTTGCCTACTTATTAATGGCTTTCCAAGGGCAACTTTTGTTGAATTTCTAAAATTACAGAATTATTATAGCATTACTTAAGGGTTTATAATCGAATCAATCCTATGTAATTTCTATAGTGACACTAACCTTCAGTTCCACAGGATTATTAGGAAATGTTCTCTCAGACATTGTGGTCACATGGTGTCTAATCCATTGGATGAGGTAGTTCACCATATTCTGGTATTCAATCCATTTGACTTCAACATCCTAGAACAATCAAATGATAGAAAAGGTTCACATCTGTAGATAATAACATTCATATCTAAGACAATTTAGTTGGAAGTCATTCTGTAAACGTACGTATTTGAAGCCTGACAGATAGAACCAGCTAAATGTTTTCTTACTTTCACCCAGCCCCAATCCCTGTCACATAAACACCTTTAAAAAGATGCTATCAACATTTGGCCACTAACACTAGCCTTATGAGTGCCAATTCTGATCCAAAGAAAGGGGCTGCCTGGAGTATTGTATTTAGAAGGCTTTTGAGGCTCAATCTAAGCACTACAGAAAAAATCCAAAGTCAATTTGGGGTGTTTACCAGGGCTCAGGATGGGGGAGTAACAACTTGCATAAGCCAAGTTAGTTGCCATCTTTGCCAACTATTTTAGATCTAAATCTACTATGTATAAGACTTACCCAATATGTAGGAAACCAGATATGTATGCAAACTACAGGAAATGTATATGGTGGGATTATCCAAGTAACTCATTAGGCAAACTCTTTAAAAATGGAGGAAACTGGAAGGCTGCCAACTGCTCTGTTTAAGTATTTGATGGATGCTTATTATGTTCAAAGGTTGTGCTGAGTGTTATAACAAAAAAATACTTTAAGACATAATACCTATTGTCAAGTTACTGTCTAAATGCAGAGGCAAGAGAGATACATAATATAAACAGGCAAAATGAAGAGCAGTATTTAATTAAGTGTTGAAATGTTGAAATAAATGAAATGGGTAGTATATGCTAGTTGAGATAAGAATCAGGCAAGCATATCTGTGCCTTAAAATAGTTTCTAAAGGCTTCTTGGGAAAGGCAGCATCTGAGATGTTCTGCAATGACTGGTAAGTAATTATTGGTGGGGGGAGGTGAGTGGGGGCGCTGAAAAAGTGGACAAAAGGGGAGTCCCAAGTGAGTAAGGACACTGACATGGAAATGCCCTGTCTACCAGTAAACAGTTCATATTGGGAAATCATAGCTAAAAAATGTAGGTAAACAGAATAAATATATGCAGTTTTAAATGTCAGAATATCTAGATTGCATTTAACTTTGCAAGGAATATGTAGCCACTGAAAATTTTCAAGCTAAAGACATCAGGTTTTAGACAGATTAATTTGGCAACAGTGTGCAGAGGCAGTGGGAAGAAGAACAAAATGGAGATGGAAAGCTGTAAGAAAGCTATCAGCCTAGTTCTGCAGTGATAGGC